TGAGTGAAATCCAGTCTTATGTTTCCTGTTCATCCACTTCACATCCATTGGGATGCAGCATTTGTGAAAGAATCAATTATCCATTTGTTAGTCAGAGGAGCTTTACAAATTATACATTAGCAGATTGATTTCTCAGGTTCACCATTGGGGGACTGATAGCATAAGGTGGGTTGATGATGAGTGTCAGGGGAGAAGGAGTTGCCACAAAGAACACAATTAAAAGAAGCTTTCTGAGTGGCCGTGAATTTACTCCTAATTGAAGAGATGACATAATCCATACTAAGTGTGTTTATTTCAAGCATTTTACATTAGGTAATTGATTATCATGTGAGGTACATTTGTTGGTAGATACTTGATTTTCCTTTCCTTTAAATTTAGGATTTTGCAAAAGCCTGCATTTAGATCTTTATGTGCAAGGTGCCTGCTAGCTTTTTCTCCCTCTCCCTAAACTTTTCTTTCTCCCATTAAGGTAACATTTTTTTTGTTCTATAGTGTCAGCTTGACATTATTGATTTTGAACAGTCAAACTTACTTATGTTGTCCAGAATTCCAAACATGTCTCCATCAGAAAGAAAACTGCAGCTAATGGAAATTCAGCTGAAGCTTTTCTTCCTTCTTTGCAAGAACTTCCACACTCTATGAAATTCTGAAGCTGTTCCCAGGTTAATCATTTCAGTGTATTTCCTCATTGCCAGATTTGAATTATGTTGCTTTAGAAATACTATGTGTGTTACTATTACTTACACAGTACTGGAAGTATTGTTGTGACCACAAATAAGTTGTGGGTTTTTTACTTGTTTGGCCTAAAACTGGGGTTCCTGATTAGGTTAAGAAAAGATTACCCAATGTAGTGCTAATTAAATAATTATTAGTAATTTCCCCAATATTTGATATGCAGCTGCCTGTGGTTTTATGGTATGGGGTTTAAGATTAGATTGTCTCTTAATTGAGTAGTACTTAAATGGACTATATGTTCCTGATTTTTAGATTGACACTCTGACCTCAGATTGCTGTTGTAATTCTTAATTTTTACTCTTTTTTTCAATACCATGCCTGTAAATTTGGGCATGTTTTTCCCCCCCCCACCCCAAATACCTTTAAAGCAGTTAACTGACCAAACCCCAAAGGATATCTTGGTTCCAACTGTATCCAATGATCAGTCCTCCAGATTGTGATGAGTTAGTGCCTACCTGTGTCCTCTCTAACCTTGAGTGATTCTTCATCTTTTGTCGACCTGTAAAGGTGGATGTTGCAGGAAGGGCATTTATTCTCTGTACTGTAAAAAACAAAACCTATTTTCTTTTGCCAGGCAAATTAAACTCTTCAGTGGGCTAACTGGAATAAAGTTTAAAAAAATGACAAGGGAAGACAGCTGTAACTCCATGGCTGAGTTGATAACGTTGAATAAAAATAAAAAAAAAAGCAGCAGGGTGAGGGAGCGTCACCCACAAAATTATCTGTGCTTCTCATTTCTGAAATATCAAAATTACCCACAGGTTGTTGGTAGGGTATAAATACAACTAAATTTGAAATGGTAAGTAACTTTGCTGACTGGCACAGCAGTGTATTTATAAAAATAATTGATATGAAAAGATGATAGATAACACATGTACCAATTTTATCTGTGGTCTTTTATTTCTGATTTCCTGGATAGTTTTAGATACAAATCTTAAGCAGTTTTCCAGTGGAATGTAGTTCTGGAAATGGTAGCCTTGACTGTAACTCAGCTCTGAATAAGAAGATCCTTGCATTAGCTATTCTTGCTGGAACTTTATTTTAAAATGCATTTAGTATTCAGCCTCGATTATTTTTAAGTTCATGGTCATCATCACCTTATGAGCTCCATAGAAAGTTCTGACTGGTAGAGTCAGTGAACAGGCCAGTAGCCAATAGTACCAATTCAACTTGAGTGCTGAAAAAACATTACTCCGTGTTTGCTTTGCCTTCTGTATATCATCTAGAATAGCGTCTCCTGTTGGAACTTAGCTGGAGGTTTGTGTCAGTGAGCAGGTCTACTTTTAGTTGAATTTTTTTTCTCTTCCCTGGTTGTCATCTACGTATAGTGCAGATATCAGGAAAAAAACATGGAGAAAGGAGAAGTTAAAAGCAACTGATAGAGGTGTTGGGCATGCAGAAGGCATGTAACAAGTAACAAGTTTCCAGTTATATACAATGTTATGAAATACTTTATCCCCAAATTTCTACTCAACAAACGGTTCTGAAGTATTGTGTACAGTTTTGAATGCGGGAAAAATGCAAATACTGTGGAATCACCTTTTCACCCACTGACAACATTCTGCATGTGTATGAGGAGAGGTTTTGCCTTGCTAGGCACTGTTTGGTTACTTGAGTGCAATCAAACATTTAATCTCCAAAGTATGCCACGTGGCTTTCAAACTGCAGCATGACAGATAAATTCCATCATCCTGCTCCTCATCTTCAACTTTTACGTGAAGATAACTTACATAGTCTACCTTGCCTACTTCCTGAACTTCATTTTTTCAGCGTCAAACTTTATCAAAGCCATTTGGCAGAAGAATGGGAACAGTGTGGACTGTAGGATTGAGCTGTCAACTCTTCTGGTGTGTCTTGTTTTGTTTCTTTTTGTCTTGGGCTTTGTTGTGGTAGAGTGTCTCCAAGAAGGCCCGTCACACAGGAGTGCTGCTAGATCTGCTGTTGTTGTCATGTCAGCCCTAATGGCAGATGTAGGTGCTGGAGAGACAAGAAGAACATGGCCAATTGAACACTGTATCTTAGCGTGTGACCCTGTGTCAAGGTGGGACTATTCAAGGTAGACTTTTTGCCTTTTCAATTGCAGAGTAATAAAAGAAGAGAAGAACCTTTGTGAGAAAGTTGTGGCAATGGCAACTTAGATGCAGCCCAGAAGAAAAAAACGTGCCACCTCCATGGTGAACTTGGTTGAACTTTCAGTGCTTGTCCTTTCAGAGGGCCAGAATTGTTTCTCATTGTAGAGGGAATGGTGGAGATGTGCTGACATTTTTATTTTTTTTTTTCCCCCTAGACAGATACAAAGTCTTCTTTTGCACCTTGATGAGCAAACCAGAAGTTTAGAAAGGCATTTTCAAAGTTAGCCAGGAACAAAAGTGTGTGCTAGCAATTTTTATGAAGCTTCTAGAAAGTGAGACTGACAACTGACATGTCGTGCCTTACTCAGCATCCTCCAGTCCTGGTGTTAGCCAACTGTGTGTGTAGTATCTGTGAATCAGAGCTTTCACAAGGATGTTGACTGCACCAGGAGGCTGATGGGCTTGAGCTGTGGTCCTCATCTCACACCACCCAAATGTGTCGGGAGGAACGTGGCTGGGGGATATGCACCAGCTGCCTGCACTGCCAGCGATGCGCTCACTTCTGATTTTGAAACACAGCAAATCAGTGTAACCACTCTGTTGCAAATGAAAATACTCCTGGAGCACGTAAGTCAAGGAAAATTAGCTTAACTTCTTCCTCAGCAGTGCACTTTCTGGCAAACAATGCCCAGCAGAAAGATCACTTTTTGATAGGCAGTGATCGCACTATTTCCAGGTAGCATTCTGTAGTGACACAAACTGAGGCCAAGAGTGGAGTCTCCTGCACGCAAGGAAGCGGGAAAGCAAAAGAGCTGGCAGCATCCTTTTCATAACTCATCAGGCAACTGTTGCAGTGCAGGGGTCAGTTGTTCAACCTTGATTAGAAAGAAGCTTGTGGAAAATGAAATGTGATTCAGGCATATATTCTTTTCAAGGTGGAAGAGAGGAAAACTTCATTTCCCTGAGTTGGAATTTTTTTTGTGCATGAAAGGTTATGAGGAAAAGCTTTCCAAAGGCTGTGAGAAGACCTCAGTTTACGTCCTGTAGATAGTCCACCTGGACAGTGTGTTTTTACATAACTTTTTATGATGTACTTTTTATGTAATGCCAACTGACATAAAGTACATAAGGACCTGTGATATTTTAGACACAGTTGTGTAGCATCTAGTGTGACCCCATGACTCCAGCGCTGTTCCAGTGACACTTTCTTTTCACACAAACATATGATGGATTTCTCTTTTATCATGCTCAGAACCAAAGTGATCTATTTTGTAGTTCAATCTGTTCAAAATTTTATGAGAGTAAGAAAAGTTGTTCTTAAATGTGTGAGGGAGACTTACTTGGGTGAAGATCCTTCAGTGATGCTTGAAATGATGAGATATTTGTTACAGAGGGTGAAATCAGGATCATGGTACATAAGAAGGTTCTTGGTACTTGAATGTAATTGGATGAGGTTTTGTATGCGAGAGGATATGCATTGCGTTACCCAAATGATGTTATAAGTAAGTCCTCAGTACTTAAGGTAAGGGTAGGTGTTTAATCTAAAGTAAACAGTAACAGACGCTGTATAACCCTGTAGATTAGAACCAAAAGTATATCTGGATAGGGAAAGGAAAATTTATTAAATCGAGGCGGTTTTGGGGGCTTTTCTCAGTATTTGTCTAAGAATGAGTATACGTATGTTGCACTTCCTTACCTTCTAATATTTGCTTGTGAGAACACTATCAGAGGCAAAAATCAAAGCAAGAGAAGTGATCTGAAAGAAGAAATAATTCCGATATAGCCATCAGACCAAACCAGAAGAATTTTTAGTTGCCTTGATGCCTGTGTGGTCAGCATATTTTATGCTGAGTTTTGGTAGCAGTAGAGGTTCTTAACGAACAGCTGTGATGCGCAGGAGAAGGGCCGAGAGCCTGGCAGCTCCAAAGCCCTGAGGTGCGTAACTGCAAAACACGTGGAGTTTCTGGGTTAGCCAAAAGGCTGGACAGAAGGCTGTCTTTTGTAATTGTTGTAGAAATACCTATTCTATGTGGGGTTTTTTTGATTCATGCAGCTAAACATTATGCAACTGTTAACATGTAAATCTCAGGAAGTGGGGGGAGGGGGGCATTAAAGCATGTGGTTGGTGATGTAACTTTAAAGTCAACTTTAAAAGTCTTTTTTTCTTTTTCTTCTCTTCTCTTCTTTCTCTAGAGCCCAGTGAAGATAAATCAGATCAGCCTGGATGAAAGTGGAGAACACATGGGTGTTTGCTCAGAAGATGGCAAGGTACAACAAACCCATTTATATATTTAATGAGGTAGCAGGTAGTCCTCAGTATTACACTGGAGATAATTGTGATACCTGTGGAGTTAATTCCTGCATTTAGCACTACCACTTTGACCATCCATTTTGACAAGTGAGCTCAACTTTGAATACTCAAAATTAAAGTCAAATATATTTTGCACAAATGTGCCGTAGGAAAAGTAATTACAAGAATGTCAATAATGTAACTGGTATTAAGCTGATTAACAGCTGTGGCAGGAGGACATGTCACCTTAATCATTACTGCTGTGCCAGTTATACTTCAGTGACTACTCTGCTGTTCCTGCAAGACAGTAGTTTAATGCCTTTCTGCTATAAATCCACAAAATTGGATTTTGTGGGCATGATTTCTGTGGGCTGGTGGTTTTCATTTTCACACACGTTATGAATGTTTCTCTTGAATTATAGAATCTTTTGATAAGCAATCATAGTTTATCAGAAGAATAAAGTGTCTTACAACAGCCACATTAAATAAATGTAAAATCAATATATGTACAGTTTCCTAAAAAACTGGCACCTACTTCCTTGACTGAGGACATATATCATTTGTGCAGTGTATAACTAACAATTATCAGTGCTTCTCTGGAATGTTGAGCTGTGACATTTAGTGGTTTTGGTGATTGATTTTCCACTTATAAGAATGTCTTTTTTGTTTTTAAGTCGATGGCAGTCTTTTCTAATGTTGGTTTGCAATGATAAAATTCTAATGCACAGGGTGTATTTAAGCTTCTTTTTTAATATAATGCTCATGTACAAATGCAGTGCATTAAAAATCATTTAAATCATTTCTCAATATCCATCTGACTTACTAAGGAGAACATTTCTTACAGAGTAGACTTGGGGGGTGAGGGGGGGAGAAGAATGTCCGTGATCCTAATGGATGCATCCCATTCAGTAGAAGTTCTATAAATTAAAAATAAAACCGGATTTTGCAGTAGGCATAACGTGACAACAACCCCTTTAGACTCTATGTGCTTGGTTTTTTTCATTCCAAATAGGTGGGGATTTTTCCTCAGCAGTCAGGCAGCCAGTTTATGTATCCAAGCCTTTTGTTTCTCGGAGATATCTTGATGTCAGTATCTTGACACAGTAATTGGGATACTAGTGCCTATCAAAGCGGGTTGTAGAATTTTACAGCCTGTGAGAAACATAACAAGAGTGTCCTAATTGTCTAAGCAAGATAAGGGAAGGGTCAGTAATTGTGCAAGGTAATAAAAATGTTGAGCTAGCATTGTTGGTTTGGGTGTTTTGAATGGTGGGGAGAAGCAAGCGCTTGCTGTAAGGGCTTCTCAGATGTGACTGTGGATTACTGACTTGAAATATGTATGTTGCAGTGAGACTACAAGCCACGCCCATTTTTCATATATTAAGTTAATATTAAAAATACGTATTTGATCTCAGAAATGTTCAAAAATCCATAATCCCTACTCTGGTATGGCTGTATTTGAAAAGACTCCATTTTTTTTGTAGGGAAATAGCTATTGTGGATCCAGCAGGTGACAGTACCTGCCATACAAGGCAGTCTAAACTATGGTCCCCAAGCCAGGGCTACTTCTGGTAATGTTTTTGACGCAGGGCTGGAGTATCACAAGTACAATATTCGTCACATTTGTGTTGATAGAGCCCAGGGACATTGATGCTTCACCACATTCTACACTGAAAAGCTCATCTGGAGACTTGAAAGATCTGGGTGTTTTAGAAGTTAGACTTTCCCCTTGACCCAGAAAGCTGTGTCTCTGAAAGAATCCACCCCTAAAATGGGTGCAAACACATACATGTATGTTGCGCTACTGTATAAGAAAATGGCAGAAATTCCTGGCCAGATAATGCAGCACTTCTAAGTTCCCGCTGATAACAAATGTGTAACTTTACATTCCTTGTAGCTCTTTCCTTACTACAGTGGGAGTGTTCATGTTGTAAGAAGTGAAACACTTGTACAAGTGGTTGCCAAGTCGTCATTAACGTAGATAAATAAGTAAAAATAGTGAAATCCTGTTTTTAAAAACAAAGGAAAAAGAAAAAGTGAAACACCTTACTTTTCTGGAATCAGTTTTAAACAAACAAAGGGGTATAATAAAAAGACCTGTGAATTTTGAGCCAGCTGGGTTAATGTAAGCATTTTCTACCAATTAATGGTCCTCTAAACCACTGCAAAAGATTTTTGCAATAGGCTGGGAGTGCATTTTCCCATATCAAAGTGGATCCAATATGAGGGAGAAGGAAACCCATTTGTCTTCTTGAAGGAAGGCCTTATGATGAGAACCCCTTCCTCATATCTGTTCTGCTGTCTGGTGTATTTTATTTTACTACTTTTTTTCTTTCTTTTCCCACTTTCAAACTAGATTTGGACTAGCTACGTTGACTGAAGGGGGGGGCATAGTGGCACAGTGCAATTCTTTAACCATCTTCTTGTCAGGCGGCATCCAGACCTAATGTCAAAACCTGGCACCTATTTGTCACACATGGCCAACAAGGGATTTGGGAACCACTTGCAGCTTTTCTGTACTGCATGTTTGGTTCTTTGAAAATCTTCCTTGCTGACGGACTCAGCTGCAGCTGGTCACCACTGGCATGGGAAGGAACAGAAATCAAAGCCGCCACCACCACTCTAGTCTGGCCACTGGCTGTGGAAAATGGCTGGGTGTTGAAATACTAGGGTATAAGAGGAGAATTTTGGTGCTGGAAAAACACAAGGGGAAGCAGGCTTGCGGCTTAAGAATTGGGGAGGTTATTTTGGTTAGTTTTTTACCTACTTGTATGCTGTCTTGAAAAACCTGCATCTTCTTATACAAAGAAATAAAAATTATTTTCAAACCCTATGTATTTACATGTTTCAGTGTCATGTTTAATGCCTGTAACAACGTTTATGTTAAGAATATCCTTGAAGTATTACACTGATCATTTTTCAAATGTGGCTGGTAGATAAAATGTGTTTGTTTTCCTGCCTTTTGATCGCTGAAGGTTGGCTGCTTCTTCCATGTGGAAGCAATGGAACAGCTAAGTCTAGATGCACTGGAGCGGTGGGTTCTGGATGCTTAAAATTGGACATGATTAGCAAAATGTAGTGGACTGTCATCATGAAATCCTTTTTCCAGCTACCCAAAACCATCTTGAGCTGAGTGGGGATAGAAAGTAGAAATAGATAAATCCAATATAGGTTTGTAATATCAAAAGAATCACTTTCTTTCTGAAGAATAAAAGACATTAAGAAGTAATAAACTGTTATATGGTGTCCCTAGAGTAAACATAACATGTATTTTATGCTGAGTTGTTTTTTCCTCTTTAGTTAACTGACTCCATTTTGTTTGCAGACTCTTAAAGGAATATCATATTGGCATATTCAATACAGTATTAGGAAAATGTTGAAGGCACTGCTGCTAATGCTAATTTTGATTAATTAGTTTTAATTTGAGGGGGGTGTTTTGTCATTTTTGAGGATTCTGCTTCCATGGAATTTGCAGTGTTGTGTTCTAACCACATCTATTGTTTTTCTTCCTCCTTTCTTCTCTCTGTCTTATTTTCCCTTTCCTGTTTCTTATTTTGTTTAGTCAGTTGCATTGGATATGCTGTGCCAACTGATGAAAACAAAAACCCAGAAAACAAAATCCTCTAGACATCAGCCCGAAGGTTTTCTAGGCTTACAGCCAGGCCCGACTCAAAGACAAGCCTTTGGTTGGCTTACATAATCACAGCTTTGCGATACATCTCACTGTCTCCAAATATTGATTTTTCCAATCCTTTGGAGCAGTAGCTCAGCCCGACACAGTGCATGCAGCAGTATTTTTAAAGCGTGTTGTTAGAGGCAGTATATTCGCTAATGAGTAATGGACAGAGCTGATAATGCTGCTTAGGAGATGTATCCAGGAGACAAGCTTGAAAGGGAGATGAGGTGGTTTGAGATGTGTTTAACTTCACTGAGACTGCTGAACTTTGAGCCACTCTGAGGATGGCTTAGTTCCTCGCTGATGGCTTAGTTCCTCTTGTAGTTCACCTGAAGTCTAATTTTTTTCCCCTGTCTCCTTGACTGTCTGCAGGAATTTGGGGGGTTCTTGTCCTCTGAACAAGAGGCTCTTTTTAGAGCCATTAAGCCTCACTTTTTGTGGCCCATTACTGCTGTTTACTGGCTTCATTCTGCAGGTCTTTGTTGAGTTGTTTTTTTATTTTTTGTTACTACTATTTTTTGTTTTTCCCCCGGAAGGAATCACAATGGGAATGGGGAGGGAGAAACAAATAAGGTTAAAAGATCACTTAGATCCTTGAGTCCAACTTTTTGAACATGCAGAACAGAGTTACTGAAGGGATTACCTTTTCCAGAAAATAAGGATGAATGACTAAATCTGTCTGAGAACCTTCTAAAGTAGATTCGCTGTCAGATACGGTTTTCCACTGATTGCTCCATGGGATGGTCTTTTTTTTCTCCCTTCTGCCACCAGCAGTGTCCATCCCTGCTGAGGTGATTTTGTTCCAGCAGCTTCTGGCAGTGGGTAGAAACCTCTTAAAATCATAATGAAAAAGCAAACCAGTTATTAATCTTTGTGGAAATCATAATTAGTAAATCAATTACTAATTCCTGACCATAAGTCTTCACCCCTATTTTACTCCTAAGTTCTGCAGGAACTGAGTTGTCAACTGTCTCATCTGAGAATTGGGGAAGGGAATATTGCATGTTGGATGAAGAGACATGAACCCAAAAGAGGGTTGTATTTACAAAAAGCTTGAGAAACCCTATTCTGTAGTCATAGCATCTAAGTGTAATAATATTTCTTAACACTTGGTATCTCTGTACGTGTTCTGTAAGTAAAAGGATGAAAACATTCAAAAATTTGTTAATTCTCTTGACAGTAGAAACATACTTTTGTTTTTTGGTTTGGTGGGGTTTTTTTTAGTGTTGAGGCTTCTTTGGATGGATTAATTCTGATAGATATTCTGATGGCCTATAGTTACAACTTCAGTGCTCTATTAAATGTACTGAGACATCAATATAGATGAGAAGGGAGGCATCTTCAGAGAAAGACATTTCCAGTGGTCATGGAATAAAACAAAATAGCACTGAATGCACTTGGGAGGAGGAAAGGATGCCAAGAAACATATGGGAGTTGGTTTTCAGGCTGGTTTTGCTTTATTGTCACAAATTTCTTTTTTCTTATGTAAACCCTGTATTGCTTGGAGGGGGAAAAAATCCTACAGTTCTTCCTCAGAAAGGAAGAGTTTTTAATTTATCTTCCCCTGAATGTTATTATGTTGCTCTTACCTTACGTAGATCAGTATCTGTTAAACAGATTCGATCACCCTAAAGCAAAAGGAACTTGTAGTTTTTGCTGTGTTTGTAACCAAAAAAAAAAAAAAAGGAAAAGAAAAAGATCCAAATAAGTACTTTTGCGCTGCTGCAAATATGTAGAGATACACCATAATAGAAGCCCAAGATGTCTCAATTAGCTCTGAATTGTTAAATATGACTTTTTCTTTAGGAAAAAAGATTTAACTGTGAGCATTCAAAATAATCTTCTAGTTCTTAGTGATTTACATTCGCCTTTAACTGTCAAGTGGTTATTAGGTAAATATTTTGGGGTTTTTTTTATATATTTCTTTAGGTGCAGGTGTTCGGATTGTATTCAGCAGAAGAGTTCCATGAAACGTTTGACTGCCCTATTAAAGTAAGTGCTTGTTTTAATCTTTAGTAATTGTGTTGTTGTCGTCTTTAATACCAGAAAGGTCACATTGAATCTAAATGAGAGACAGGAATACCGCTTCCTTGTAATATTATTCAAGTCATGAGAAAATAGTTATCTATCTCAATATAAAAGCTTTTGATCTGGTTAGGCAAGAAGAAAGCCAATCTTGGTTTTGTAAGAAGTATTACCGAGTTTTTCGAATACAAAAGGCAAAGTGAAAGAGAAATTGTCCTGTTTCAGATGTTACCTCTCTCAACGTATTTCTTTCTTTGTAGATCTGTGATACAAATTCTGAGGGTTCTGCTAACTGTGAGGTCAATATTTTGCAACCAATTCATATCCATTAAACCTACCTCGGGATAAGGCAATGGGCGGCGATGCTGATTTACCACCTCTTGTAGGTGTATGGGAAGATCTAGCTTTTTTTAAGAAACGTTTCTTGCAGGAGGAAAGGTGGTGTGGGCAACTGACTGCATTTTGCTGCTTGGCATCTTCCGTGTTGCAGCTGCTCTTGAGGGGTATAAATGGAATGAGGTAATCAAGTTTTCACACATGTCACATGCGACTCACTTGCCTCCTAGGGCCATACCGCTCTTACAGCTGGATCTCCCACACTTGACTCGCAACACATAAGGCAAAGAGGCTGTTTAAGGTGCATTGATGCTACACGAGGTTGTCGTGTGACAGGGCTGAGGTGTGCGTGCCCTCTAGGAAGGTCCCAACCAAGACTTAATTGGGGTAACCCTTTCTCGTAGCAGTCCTATGCTCCACAGTGCTAATTCTGCAGCCTGCTGTGCAAAAAAAGTAGTCATTCGGTGTAACATGGCCCTCAGTGTCAGGCATGTGACAAGTCACATGCCATATAGTGTGGAGAATTTTCTTTTTTTCTAGGAAAAACAAGCAGAGATATCTGAGACAACCAGGCTCTACTTCAGAGAAAGTGCTCATCTGTAATACTTGATACTTGGCAAAGAGTCATCTAGTTTAAAAAGTGATGTGGTACTCCCTGTGGACTCTTATTTAAGCCACAATCCTCTCTTCTTTTTTTTTCCCCTTCTCCCCCCCTCCCTCAGATCGTTGCTGTTCATCCTCACTTTGTAAGATCCCACTTCAAGCAATTTGTAACAGGAGGGAAAAAGGTAAGCAGTCAAAGTGTAATGAATTCAAGTTATCTTTAAACAGCTTTTAAAAATAACTCAGAAAGCTGTATATGTGATTTTTAACGCCTAGAGCAAAAAATTCTGATTTTTCATTCTCTTTATGCATTGTATTCTGAAACATCCTTACTTAATTAAGACTAATTCCAGGAGGGGGGAAAAGTGCACTTTTTACATTAAAAACGTGTTGCAACAAGATGAGCTTTAGAGTAGAAATATTTTTGTCTACAGTCTGAAAATGTCATTTGCATGTCATAGGCCAGATTTTTTCTATTAATTTTGATTTGTTGAAGCGGGAGCAGAAGTTAGGACTTCAATACTGATCCTTTACAATGCGTGTTGGTCTTGGTGTTTGGGATTTTTCTTTTGCTTTACCTGTGGGTGATTTTGTTTTGTTTTTAAAGTAAACAAACCCAAGTATCTTCATCAGTTCTTGTTCATGGTGTAGGGTTTTTTGTTTATTTGTTTTTAAAGTAATTCAGGGGAGCTCTTGGTAGAGTAGAGCTCCCACTTTTTTAAGTATTTCTCTCTGTGTAGTTAAGGTCTTCTGCTTGGGGCAGTTGTTATTTTAAATGTGCATTAGGTGTCTTACTGGTGTAGGGTACAATTCTGACTTCCAGATTGCAGCTGGTTCCAGGTCCTACAAGAATCTTGTATCACATCATATATTTTCAGTCAGAATACAAAAAGTTTGGTTTGGAGCACTTTGTGAATTTGTGAAGTTTTCATGTTGCCTTCTCTTATGACTTAAGGATGATCAGTCCTCACATACAGATGCATCACACTGAATGCAATGGCTCTCCCTTACCAACATGTAAGAAATACAGACTTCTAGTGCTGAATACAACTTAATTTTCATTAACAGTTCACTATGTTTCAAAGCATAGCTGTGTTTTATTTCGCTTTTTAAGTGGCATGAAGGCTTGACAGCTTTTGCTGGCTGGTCGGAGTTGGTGTTGTCCTTAAAATAATGCACAGTCAGTGTATGTCTTTGTCAGCCACCAGTTTGTGAAGCTTTTTAGTGCTGATAAAAGGGGTATGGAAAGAGAGAAGCAGGGAATTAATAGAACAGGGTACCGTCAGGTGGTTAAAGAGCTTGCATTCACCTGATGCCGAACAGAAAAAAACATCAGGGAGTTAACACATTCTCTTTGGTTATCTTTGATTACTTGACAGGTTGTTTTATATTCTGTCCTCTGGGGAATGGTATACTCGTTCTTAATGCATTCATTTTTTGCTGAGGAACTTTCCTCTTCAGGAAAACTTTAATTGACATCTTAACATAAGGTATTTAGCATTGAAATAAATGTCCCTCGACACCTGTAATTTGATTTTATTGATACATAAAACCAACAAATAAAACCTCTTAGCCTTGTGGTAGAAACCCTTCCCCTTTTCTCCTTTCCTCCAGAAGGAGCTTATGTGCTTGTATAAAGGCAAGAACAAAATTCTCTGTGAAAATTCAGAAAGTTAAATTCAGCCTACTTGCTTATTGAAGATGTTTTTTATTTTTCTGAAAAGAAAAAGGCCTTGGAAAACATCCCTGCTTTTTATTAACATCTCTCCTTAAGTGTAAAGCCAAAGAGCTGGGTGGGGGCAGCAGGCAATGGGGAGTTGGTCCACACGAGTGAGGAGAAGCAGGCTGAAGCATACCGCCTCAGGCTGCGGACCTCGCATCTCTCTCGCTGTGTCTGGAAGCTGTGTAGTTGGGTGAGCTCCTTCAGGAGAGGGGACAGGACATCCTGTGGCTTCTGAGCTCTCTGCACTTTTAGCCTTTGCACGGACACAGCAACTTCATACCTCATAGCTGTCAGTGGTGGGGAAGCAGGCTGCTTGTCTTCCCCATTCGCACCAAGGCAGGGATAGCAGTTAAGGATGCAGGTAAGGCTATTCTTGTTTTGGATCAAGCTTAAAATCACATAGTGTGAAGTCTGTGAACTTTTCGCCCAAATGGTTCCGGGGTCTGTCTTTGTTTTTTGTTGTTCTGGGAGATGGTGACATAATGTATATTAGCATTTTAAATGTTGAGGCATTTTTTAATTGTTTGCTAAGATGATTTGATCAGATAAAAGGACCCAGAAAGGTATGCTGTCACTTTGTCAAGCCCCTCTAGTTGCATTGCAAACATTATATGAGAAGGATGTTCTTCGTTTCCTACTAGAATTTTATGCTGATTTTGGTTTACAGTGAAACAAAATAAAGAAGCCAAGCCACACATGCACACAGGAAGCAAGAATTTGCCCCCCTTATCTTAACACTCTGCTTTGTCTCATCTCATCTCAAAAAACCACTTTGAGATCTGTTTAATTTCATTAATTTTATAGCCAAGAATTTGCCTCAGTAGGATCCTTAATGAATGGGATGGGGAAGCTTTAACTGTAAATTACCTCTTCCTTAATTTTTTGGGAAATGTGCAGTTCATCGTAATAATATAAAATGTATAAAAAAAATACACTTTTCAGTTCAAAGATTGATGGCAGAACATTCTGCAAATCTTCAAGGTGAGCAACAATGTCTAAAAAAAAAAAAGGTAGAGATGGAGGGGAAAAAAATCTAAGTGACGTGCTTCAGGGACGTGCTGTGCAGGTCTTCGGTTCCCAACACAGGTGGATGTTTAGAACTTGGGTGAATTGTGTGGTGCTGAGATTTGCCACATCTTAAAAGCTCGGCCTGACCTAAAGCTGACTTACAAGCAGTGCTCCCTGGGGTAACTGTTTAAACTATTTCAGATTGTTGGAAGCTTAACTCTACTGTGCATATGTTTATACAGTTGCTTAAGTAGGCATGTACTAGAGTCCAATGCTAAAGAGCGTTTTTTCTCTAAATTGTGTTACGAACTAATTAACTAACTTAAATTCTTTGCTTACTAAGGCACTAGTTTTTAAAAGGCTTTCATTAAGCTTGGGATAATATCATTGTCTTCTGTTTTGGGCTGGAAAAGCTTTTTTTTCACCCCCTTTTTTTCAATGAATGAATGTTATGTGTGCCTAGAAACAAGGCAGGTACTAGGGAAACATTGACATGATCGCAGTGAGAAGCAATAGGTACCATACTAAATAGAGGTGCTTCCCTGCTCCCCTCCCCCTTATATCTGCAATTAACTACAGCACCGTTGCGATGACTTGGCAGGTGATGGTCACCCTGAAATAATAATACTGTATATTGTAAATAACAGGGCATTCCTGGGTAAATAACAGGCCATTCCTGTCCAGAGCAGACAGTAGAGCTTCAAACCAAGGGAAAAGACAAATACCATGCTATTGAAGGCCATAACCTTCTACCTTTTAAAAAAGGGTCTAATCTTAAAAAATAACAGGGTAAAAGCCAACTAAATGAGGGTGGTAAAGCTGAGAACAAGGTGTTCTTTATTTAACTGTTAGAGTGCTGGTATTTCCCAATGCATCAACTAAATGAACATTATTGCAACTTCCAAGTAGCCATTATATCCAGAGGGTTAAAGAAGCAGAACTAACAAAGAGAGACGACTGAAGGATATTTCAGTTCTGAAGTCAAGGTATCAGCTACTGCATCTTATGTAAAGATAACTTAGGAGAGCAGGACAACTTGAGGTTGCTTTCTTGGCAGAGGCATTGATGAGACTTCCTGTTTCGTGTTTTGATTAACATCAATAACAAGACATAAAGGTTTTTGTAGTAAAACTTCCTAGGAGAGTGAATCCTTTTGAGTGATTAAGTCAGTCTGCTGAATGTGTGCTAATGAATTTGTTTTGTGGGTTCTCTGCCCATCATGGCAGTGGGGACACAGCACAATTAAGCAAATTCATTCTGAAGCCAGTATGGGAGTAGGATATTTAGTATCTTAAAGGGCTGGGCCTCCTCATTTGCCTAGGATATCTATTTTATATAATAAATGTTGATTTGTGTATCCAATCTGAAACATTTTTAAGGGCTAGGGAACCAAGATAAAACTGAAATTTACCCCGTGGCTGTCAGCAGTCACATCTTTATACCTAACTGTGTCTATATCCACATAATATATTTATATTGTGTGTGTATATACATGGCAGAAATAGATATAAAAAGCTATTTTTGATGGGGTCTGTGTTTGTTTTGCTGGAGAAGATACACTAGAAGAACTGGTTTTCAAATGCAGGTCTGTCTGAACATTTTTGTCCTATTTATTCTCCCAGAATTAACATCTAACCATATCGATGCCCATGCTGAAATATTACTCTCTTTATTTTGTCTATTACAAAAGCAGAGAGAATTTAGTGTTACCTGAGGCAAATTTCTCATTATAGAAAACAAGAAATAAACTCTAACATACTATTTCAGTGTTAGAATCCTGGGCTGGACCCATGCTGTCTCCTGCCTGAGACGCAAAACAAGATGATCTAAATTCCTTTCCACTCCAGGTGGAGCAATGTCATATACAGAGAAAGGATAGTGATTGCAAACAATGCACAAGCAGGAAGGGAAGATAGCGTTCCTGGGGATCTGCAACTGCTGTTACGGGTAGTGGAATTTGTACGTTAAAGTCAAGTCTGCCAGGGAATGTCTCGGATTTATTTTTTTTTAATTGTCTGCTTTTTAGTGTCAGCAGATGCACTTTGCTTTGTGAGTAAATGGATGACCTTTACCTTTGAACCCTATGATATATACTTCATAATAACTGGTCGGACTACTTTGACAAATTATTAAATTGTCAGGATGCTGTTTGCAGCATAGTCCATTTTTAGAAAGCAGATAGTCAGCTGTTTGGCATTATGTTGGGTAGAAGAGTACCAGACAAGAACGGCAGATTGCTTTGTAAGCTATAAAATGTCAGTCAGTAAGTACTCAAAGGTCTGGTTTAAGTGAAGAACAAGTAAATACTGTGGCAATTTCTGTCCATGCATTGGATAATTTACCATAAGCAGAAAACAAACTGTAGCAGTAAGGAAGCCACGATAATACAGGTCTGTGATTTGTGTGCCGCCATGTATAATGCCCAGATGTATCCCATATTATTGAGCAGAGGAGACTTTGATATGTAGTCCTATGTCGTTTGCTTAATAAGCAGATTGTTTGGCTTACATTTCTTCTTTATTATTGTTTGGATGTGCATTTCTCCTTTATCGTGAAAAACAAAATATTCTCCTTGTGCTGTAACAAACAAAGCTGGTTTGTGTAAAGAGAGAATGGATCATAATCCTGTGTGCATGTAATCTATAGTTGTGTGTTTTGCCAGTGTATGTGTAGAAAAGTTTTTCATTGCCTGAGGTGGCAAGCAAAGAGGATCTAAATATAGGAAATGCGTGAGAGCCTGCAAGGCTGCAGGACTTGCTTTCCAAGGTGTTAATTCTGTAGCTCTTTGTGAACAGGCGACAGCTGGAATCTAGCAGCTGAGTTATTAAAAGTACAGCCTAATAAAAGTCCTATGGCATTTGTTTGTCTTAAACATCTCAAAATTTCCAACTTCTCTGTCCATGAACAGGAGCATCAGCTCCCGTTTTCCATCTCACCGTTGCCATCGCTTACCTCCCAATGCTGCTGTTTTCTGCCACTGCCTCCTTGCTTGATCTCCCTTGACTGCACCTCCTCCCCTCCCCTCCGTCCACACCCCAGCTCCTTAGACAACAGCCTTTTGAGACGATATTTTGAAAACTCATCTTCAGCTGAAAACTTGAGGCTTGCATTATTCTCTGCCTCGTTTGAGCTCATCCAGTCTGTTGCTGTTCCAAACAGAAGTGATAATTTTTTATTGTTGCTATATATTTTCCTAGGGATGCATGATTAAACAGTACGTCTTCACGTGGCATGCTGTTCTGTGTAACTCTCGGATATCTGTTAATCTTGACTGTGCCTGTAAATGTTATTTTTATGCTGAAAACAATAAATATCTGTAATGATCACTTGTAACCATGTCAGTAGCATTTTAGGTTTTTGTGATCTTGCCTGACTGAGGGGAGAACTGGTGACACAGGTGCCAAAAACCAGAATAAATGCCACAGGTAGGCACATCTTCACACTCAGGCAAACAAAGAACAGGACAAGGAAAATACAGGAAGTTTTTTCCTAATTCTTATTTTGTGAAATAAAAACTAATCCAACAGTGCTGCAATAGGGAAGGGTGGCTTTTCAGTTACAAATTGAAGTTTCGGCCTTTTCCGTCTGTAAAACTCCTCCAGATCTTCACAGAGGAGGTGCTGTGTTGAAACAAAGTAATGATGCTGTGCATAGTGCTTCAATAAAAGTGTGTTTCCTTTGAAACTTCTCACTATGTGAGAACAGACATCTTTTGTTTCAGTGTTTTGAAGGTGGTATTTCTTAGTGGGATGAAATTGAATTACTTCACCACATTGATACTACCAAAGCTGCAATCGTTGGCCTCTTTTTTTCAGAGGATTGAGGATTCCTGTACATAGTTTAAAGACTGGGATTACATGTAATTAGTGTTAATGCTAATTGCATGAGAGGCTCCATTAAATACAAGCATTAGTCTATTCTTTTTAGCGGATGCACTCTGAAATAGAATTTTGAGCTCTTTTTGGAGAAGGTTAATCTCCTTGTAGTGAAAGATAGAGAGACATGTATTCACTAATCTGAGAGAATTGTATCCACTTGTTTTTAAAACCAAAAAGTGTCCTGCGCTGTCCTCTTGTCTCATGCATTTAATTTTTTCTTAATGATCCAGTGGACAAGCATAAGCAGTTAAGAAGACTCGCAAAATAATAAGTAGTGAACTATCAGAAGATTGCAAAGTACTATGAAGGAGTGTGGGTCAGACCCTTGAAGTCAAAGTTTATTTTCTTTTATTTTACCTATATTATCCTGTTGCGGTACATGCAAGAGATGCGGGAAGTGCGTTCTAAGCACTGCTGTATTGTAGCAAAGGACTAGAAAGATTTACCAGAGCAAATCAAAAAGGGGAAAATATAAACTGTGTTGCAGAGAATGCAAGGAAGTTATTTTTGTGGCTGCTGTTGAAATATAAGTACTGTGAATGCTGACTGCCAAAATATGGGATTTATGGGAAATGAAGCCCTAAAATATTATTCCCCTACCAAAAAGAGAGGGAGGCGTTAGGAGGAACCCTTCCAGAAATGGTGGATTTTGTGTCTACCTTCCCTTGAAGATTTAAATGGCTTTCTGGTGCGATAAGCATTTCAATGTGAGGACGGAAAGAAAGACTAAGAAATAAATTAGGCTGCTTATTTTGAGAGCGATGCATTCAGGATAGCAGCTCCAAAATGCATAGCAAAGTTCTGGGTTCAGTAATTGTTTCTAGGTGTCATTGCTGGAACAAAGAATAATCACATTATGTGTATCAATAAAATGCAGATAATTGCATTGTAGATAAATATTGTAGATAGCACGTTTTGCGATTAAATATTTTTTTGGAAGCCACAATGTTGAGTGTCCTTTGGCTTCAGTGTTGGACCTGTTGCACTTCCTGTTACGACACAAGGAATTCTGGGTGCTCCAGTGATTCACATTCACTTTCCATCTTTATTACAGGCAATATCAGACTATTGTCTTCTGCTGCCTTAGTCCGAGAATTTAATTAAGCATGTACTTAGAGTTGAGCATAGACTGAAGCAGGGGTTTTTTGTTTGTTTGTTTTATTTTCTCCCCACCAGTTCTCTCTCAGGTCATTTATTTTCTTTGCAGTTTCTTACTCAGGTAGGGCGTCACGGAAAAGCATGATGTTCACAAATCACGAGTAGTAACAAAGTAACTGCCAAGTGTCATTCCAAGCTCGCTCTGGATCTTGCGTGTTTAATAAACTTCAGTCACAATTCAGCCACAAGCAGAAAATATTCAAAGTTCAGTTAACAGAATTGACATCAGCCAGTTTTAACCTTTCACATCATCCCCATCAGTTTTCGCAGCCTTGTCCAGTAAGTCCAGATGAAAATACTATGTATTTTGCTGCTGTCTTTATTGGACAGTATTGAAAGAGGCATCCAAGTGACAGTTCTTTTGCCGTTGGGCCTCTCCTTAGGAGTGTTAGAACTAGGAAAAAGGTAGTTTTCAAGTCTGGATCAGCACAGCACTTAGTTTTTAATGACATCCTTCGCTTCTGAGTGGAGCTAATTAGTTTGGGCTGAGGGCTGCTCCTGTGTTTCACGTCCACCTACTGGTGAAAATTCCCCTGTGTGGCACTGCCTTATGACCATAGATGTTACCCCTGCTTTCAGTGTCTTGCTGTAAAATAGGATATTCTGTAAGAGGTTTATTGAGTAGCTTTTTGTAGGTGGAAAAAGTAACCCTAGATTGTCTAAAAGGTGGTCTTCATGTGAGCTGTGTGAAGGAAACAAAGTCATTTTGGGTGGGGTTGAAGTGCAAGATATGCTTGAGTGAGAAGTTTGATGTCTGGAGCGCACATCACGCAAAAGTTTCTCATAGACTATCCTAGATAGTGACTGCTTCAAACTTTTGGAGCAAATATTTGTCTTCTGGTGCCATCTTGTGGCTCTAGGAGAGAGAGGCAGTCTGTGTAATTGCCTTTAAAAATCCCTTATTTTGTTAAAAGATGCTATTTTAAACAACTAGTGTCTTATCATTTGATGTATTTATGCAAATACAGGTGGTGGGAAACCATGTATAAAAAAGCATGTACAGCTGGATCTCAGGAAATATCAGCAACATAGGTATTCAATTTAGGTTTTAGCATGGTAAAAGTCCTTTGCAGGTAGCAATCTTACATCTCTTAATGGTCGTTGTGCACATTATGCATTAAACCATACAGGAAACCAATAAAAGAGCGGGACTGTCGTGCAAACTGTCCGCATGTAGTTGTAGTTTTTCTTTGCTGCTTCAAAGCAGTCGTAACATCTGTTATGCACATTTAGATATTCTAAAATACCTTCCTTATTTGTGAACCCTGGGATTGCCCATCACAGAAGTTTTACGATCATCAGCGCTTGTTGTACGGTGCAGTTTGCATGCGTGGGACTAACACACAGCATTTCTAGAGCCCTATTGAAGGCCGTGTAGTTCCACATGGGGCCAAGCAAAAGGCCAGAGACTTGGGGGTCTTTGATAATTTTCTTTGGCTACCAGGCATACGGCAGACTTTTCCCATCTCCTGTTTTTTGGGGGGAAGAAGGAGCCTATCACCATATCAGTGGCTAGGTGCGAGATGCCCTGGTTTCTTTACCAGCTTTCTGAAGCGATGTCCCTAGTGCTGTAAGCTTAGGTTCTCTAACGCCTTGATTTCTTTATTCTTAAAATGGAAGTAATTATACTTACCGTTTCCTGGAGAAACTTGATCGAAGGCCTGCTTATTAATATTATTATTAAAATAACTGAAATTCTGTAGTGTACAAGATTCTCAATGTATAGGTACTAAATGAAAATATTTGATTGTATTTGCTTTGGTTTTGTAATAAGTGTGTATTTTTTGTTGCCCTTGCATCCAAGCAGAGTAAGGGATAATGAAGCAAAAAAATACCTCACATGTTTACATACAGAACTGTGTCACAGAAATATTTCTTGTTGCACTGCTTCATAGTTGCTGTTATATGAGAGAGGCTGGATGAATAGATGGAAGCCTTCAGTTTTACATGAAGGGGAAGGAAATATAAGAAATGTAAAGTGGAGAGGACACTTGATTGCTTGGGCCAATAATATGGTAAGTATTTGTCACCTCTGTTAAATGAACAAAAGTACTGTTGCATTACTCTGATACTTGAAATGTTTCAATGTTAATTGCCAAAATTGAAAAATGGTTCATTTGAAGAATTGGGTATAAAAGGCATAGTGTTTTAGATCCCATTTCCTTGTAGACATTTCTTCTGGTGTTTCCTGCTGGCTAGTCAGTGTTCTCCATATGATTGCCACTTCTGAAGAAATTAAGAAAAGTAGCTCTGCATACCACTGTTGGGGTGGTCACTACTGTACACTATTGTATAGCAGAGTGTTGACCAGTACAATTTATTGAAGCAAACTGTCCAAGTAAGGAATGCCAGTGTAACTCTTCTTTATATAAAAAATAGAACATCATTCCCCCAGCCACCCCCAAACAAAAACCCCAAATCTGTCTGGATTTTGTCATTTGTACTGACGTGACATTATCATATGCACTTCTAATGTTGCAGATTATAAAAAATGATAGTAAAAATATCTAATTTTGGTAGGCCATTAGTAAAGGCAAGACTTAGGAGAAAATAGGCCCTTCTTGCTCTAAATGTAATTCATATTTTAAAGGGAACCATTGCTTTCATGCTGAGTGTTGCATTTCACCTATCACTGTATATCTAATTGATGGGTCAAGGTCTGTGTTCTAAAGCTCAGCAGTGAGGGATATGTTTTTAAGTGAGTATCGTGTCTAAATTCCAAAGTCTTATTTTAAAATGTGGGGAAAGTATTTCTGAAACACTAACTTTTCTCCTTCTCTTGTTTTTCCCTCCTGAAGGGAAGCATTTATTAAAATATTTTAAAGCCATTGTTATTTTATTCCTTTCAAAACCCGTTTGATATGCAATTGTTAGAAGTGGACTTCTGTTTATTTGCTCCACTTTAATAACTGCGTTAGAATTGAAACTTCAATGAGCACTTGATTGTCATAACATTAGCTCTTTAGAAGGTTTTGTTCTTTTCAGAGCCATACAATTAAAATATATATTCTAGGTGAATCTGCTGGGAATAGATAGGACAGTTGAGGAGAGCTATCCCTAGAGATGATGTGCCACATCAGAACACAGAATACTAATAAAATGCTGAGAGCCATCTGTCAGAGACAAAAAGCCATGGTCAGGGCCTATCTTTCAATGAAAAATGAAATGACACTTGCCCTCCAAAAGATTAATATATTTGGTCATTGGCCTTTCCCTTCCCCATTTACCTTTTTAAAAATTTCTCCATCCTCTAGCAAGGTTTTGTGTTCCTTTTTTTTCTTTCAAAGTCAGAGAAAATCTTTTATAGCCTTGTTCTTACTGTCTCTGCATGGCTACCTAGTTTTTATTTTCTTATGCCTTTTCTTTTTTTGGCACGCTGTATGTGAGCTTGTTAGACTTTGGCTATTCTGAGACAGGCTCCAGGTTATTTAGGCAAGGTCTAATGCTGCTTGTCAGATGCTTGGGTAACCTGTATTTTCTCCTTCCTCCGTGGCCAAGAGTGCAAGTTTTACAAATTGGGATACCTGAGGAGCAAATCCTTAGAGGCATTAGGCTGCCTGACTCCCATTTGAAGAGGTTTTGGGCTCCTTTATGACAGGAGTTTGACTCTGGAAGTCCTTTCGATTCATGATGCAAATGGCATACTTTTAACTATAGAGGATCCTATGCTATTGGTTTGAAAGACGCTTTAAATGTAAGCTAGTCTATCCCATGTAGGATTTGCTGCTTTGTAGAAAAACAGAAGGTGTGGTATGGGTCACTTCTATCTGCAAATCATTCTGGAAGACGAAGTGGTAACATTAATAAAAGACAACTTTATTAAAATGCAGTTCAAGCAAGATTGCAAATTTTATCAGATGAGCTTATAGAACACAAAGCATAAGCTCCTTGTTTGTTACCCAGAGATCTGGGCTCTGTATGTTGCAGATGCCGCGTGTAAGTTTTTTTTCTGAAACCTTGATGCCAATAGGGATGTGTTCATCACTCATAGTTCTTCAGTGACAAAGATCACTGGGGGGGGGAAAAATCCCGGCCCACCCCCATACCACTTACCGATCCTGGTGATTAAAAAAAGAAAAGGCAAAACCTGGATTAGACCGTGACCCCCATGTTTAGACTCTTTGACTTACAAACAGTTGAATCTGTGCAGCTGGGGACATAGAAACTCGCAGTGGGGGGGAACAGAAACAGGCAGGGGAATCTTTTAAATCAGTTTTGTCACTAGAAAAATCCTAACATGGAATGGCATCCTGGACGCTGACCTTTCAAGGTCCCTTCCATCCCCTTTTCTGTGATCATGAGAGTTGTTTTTTCTGCTCACTGAGCTTAAAGGTAATACCTACTAAAATGCTTTGTTTTATTTTGGGGGCTTTTGTTTTTAAATCATTAAGAACAAGTCATTACTTAACATGAAATTAATCTCCATTTTGCTGTTGGAAAGGTTATAGCTCACCTTTTCTAAATGGCATGGAAAAATCTGATTAATGGCTCTTTTTTTTTCCTTTCTCTCTTTCAAATGACTTTAGTCTTCCTTCCTTTAAACTTTTTGTTCTGTTAGTTTAGGAGATTTCCTGAGGAGGCAGTGAAAAATCTCAGCATATAAAACCAAGCATCATTTAAATATGCTTGCTTTTCTGTTTTAATGTAAGAGTAGAAATGCATTTCTGGAGAAGTAGAGATTGGCCTCATTTATCTTAATGAGCTGTTGCTTCACATCTTTTCTTTTTCCAAGGTGGAAATTTCTGCTTCTCTACAGGGGTTGTTGTGGAAGAGCTGGGATTTTTTCGTTTCTCCAGCTTTAGTTCAGCTCAACAAGCTGAACTGATTTATGACTACACTTGCTAATCTGTCACTCATTCACTTATTGTATCTTTTCATTGGGCATGTGAACTTAAAATATCTAACTTACTCTAATACCTTCAGTCCTTCTGTCACCTCCTGGGTAAGATGGGTCTTTGCATCACCAGGTTTTTCTGTTGGCACGCTCAGCCCTACCCTAAAACTTATGCCGTAAACGACTATGACTGCCTTAGCGTACAAAATAATATGGGGTGTGGTGAGTAGGAGTTTGTCATACTGAATAAAGTTTTCTTATCTTTAAACTTGCAGGGTGTGAAGATACTTGACATGATCTCCAAGCAAAGAATTACCAATGTACCTCGAGATGACATAAGCCTTCGCCCAGATATGTATCCCTGCAGCCTTTGCTGGAAGGATAATTTAACCCTGATTATTGGCTGGGGAAATTCAGTAAAGGTGCAATTACCTGTCTTCGTAATAAATGCTTGCTGTTATCACAGACAAACATAGGATTATTTCTGAAAAGCAAAGACAATCGAAAAAAATAGAATTTGGTTTGACTACAGTGTGCAGAACTCCTGCTGCCATAGAAATGTCATTGGACTGACCCTCATGAGGAGGAGGAGTGATAGACACCCAGCGGTCAGATAGTTCTCTGTGTGTGAGCACGCAGCGAATGTAATCCTCTGGGACACTTCTCTCCTCTGTGCCTTGGAGAGATTTCCTCTTTTGAAAGCTTTTAGTGGGCAGTTGAATTCATTTCTTTTGATTAGCATTAAGGAATAACAACTTACCATGAGGTATTTTTGGAGGGGATTGTTTGGGGGGCTGAGGAGGTTGCGACTGCTGAAACAGCCACATAATTTTGGTCAACTATGGGAAGAAAAAAAAGGGATGGGGTGGGGGACAGGCTGCTTGGGATTTTGTTCGGCTTTCATCAGGGAACTGGCATTTCGAACTTGTGCGCTGCGGAATGACTATGATTTGTTCAGACCAACATCTGACATGAGTTTGTTACAAGGCTGTTAGCTGTTTTCTAATAACAGACTGCTACATCAATGCACAGTGGGAAATTAAAAGTGTTTGGTAGGAGTAGATGGAAAGGGAGGGTAAACTGAGGTAGGTGAAGCGTAAAAAGCTTTTGGAGCATTAAACTTAGAGTTTTACAAATGAGGAGGTTTGTCGTAAGTTTGGCACCTGTCTTTCCCCTTGTATTGTGCATACTTCACAACATTTGGGTGTTTGCATTTCTTTACGTGTAAAACTCTCCTCCTGTTATTGGAAGTCGCAATAGCACATTCTTACTGAAATGGTAAGGTAATGAGACACAAAGTGTGAAAAGATACACAAACTAAACTCACATATATGCTACTATGAAAAAATCATAGTGGGCAGTTGTTTTCAGATTTCTCTCATGTGGTCTGTCTTCTTTCTCCTCTCCTGGTATATTTATAAGGCTGTGGACTACAGCTACAACTTTCCTGTCTGGTTTTTTTCTTCAGTGATGCATCGTCACTGTTTTACAGCCTGTGTTTTTCAAAATGCAGAAATGGATGTCTTGAGAATGCCTCAATAAGAAAAGGAGTTTCTGGGAAAAGTTAATATAATTTTAGGAGTTACAGTTTGTTCATCATAATGATCCAAATCTCTGTTTCCTAGATTTGCTCAGTAAAAGAACGGCATGCCAGTGAAATGCGTGACCTTCCAAACCGCTATGTGGAAATAGGTATGATTGTACAAATGTGCTCTTTTTCAAAATTATATAAGCTTTAAAGGTCTGTTTTCACATTCTGGCCTGAAAAAGCTGTTACATTTCAGAAGCAACATTTAGGTGTAACATAAATGTCTCCTCATTTGTAGTTGATGAGATTGTCATAATGTCCTCCTGCATGGTTTTTATTTATATTCATGGAGAGTGTTAAATTCTGTGATCGTCTAAAATCAGAGATCATTGTGTGAACAGTGGATGTTTTAATTTTCCCTTCATGCAGATTCTTACAGACAACTTGGGTTTTTATCTTGGTTAAATGATGATCAGTGTAGTAGTAAGGAGAAAATAGACACTACTTTATTTGGTTACATGTTGTTTGACTACACTGCTCGTAACTTTTTTCTCTTTTTTTTTTTTAACATCTCTTTGGTATAGTGCTAGACAATTGATTTGAATTACTTTTGTTGCCTCTTTTGCTTCTGTGTTTTATGTTCTCCTTTGCTTTCTTATTTGTCTAGTTTAGGTGATGTGAATATATTTCGTTATTGCTGATGAATGGAAAAGGTCTTGACAAAACGTGGGTATTAAGTAAAGCGTAAAGTGGAATTCAAAAGAAATTTGGAGGGGAAGAGGGAATGTAAACAAAAAAATCACAACTGTCCCCAGAAGCTGCTCCCGCGCAAAGGAAATATCTGTGAAGAGGTAGTACTGGGAAGATGAACAGGCCCTCTGGGGCTCTGCACACCGGAGTGGACAACAGTTTGTAAACTTTGTTGCTGCCTTGTCTTGACTGTAATGACATGAGATTGTAGACAAGAGCATTCAAGCAAGATCCTCACTCATGTCGGATTAGAATGGTGCATGGCATAGGTGTATATTCTGCTTTCTCATTTCAGGAAAGAGCAGTTTTAAAATAGCTTCTGAAAATCAACTAGGAGACTTGTTGAACTATGTAGGGATTCTGGGTACTGAGAGATAGTGGCATGCCTGACAATTAACTGAGACCTGAAAGCTGTTTGTTGTTTAAGATTACATGGTCCCAACAGAATAATTAACTGAAATTCTAGGTTATTTAAGAGAATTTTGTCAAGGAGAAGTTCATCTTGAGTTTTAGCCTCAGGTCTTTTATATAATCATTTCTGTACCTGTAAGTAGCTTTTAAAAAAATAATTAAATGGGGTTGTTTACATAGTGACAAGTGAACAAAGGCAACTCCTACTTCAGCTATAATGTGTCTAGATGGAGGGAACTAGTCTTACATGACTGTATTGGAACTTCATTTAAAAAATAAAAAAAAAAGCTGTCATCAGTCTATTTAGGTGCAGTCCTCAAGGTTAGAGATTTTTATGGAAGTAACATTTTCATCTTTCAGTTTTTAGCTGAAAATCTTGTCTGTATTCTTGAGGATTGGAGTTTTATCTCACTTAACCTGTTAATGTGCTTGAGATTTTTCTTTCTGGTTTCAGGTCAAAGCACTGAAACAGCTCTGCCAAACGCTGTCAGCAGCACTCATTGAAACGTGGGTATTAGATTGGGAGGGAAAAGAGAGAGACATTATTTCTTCAAGTCTCAATATAAATTACAATAACTTTTGTTGTAGTGACATAGAAGATCTTGAGAGCTGTGTGTCATGCTATAGTATCTATTTCAATTTTATTTCAACTTTACTTTTCAAAGGCATAACTGGAAGGTCTGATATTATCAATGAGCAGACTAGCAATCACTATAGTTTTTTGCAAGACCGTTAATATCCTAAGTGGATGCATAAGCTGATACGCTTTCATAGTGTAAAGAATTTATACAAGGCAAGAATATTCGTCAGTGGCAGGATTACCTGAGTATCATTCAGAAGTTTTGACTTATAACATCTTGGCAATGTACTTATACTGTATTATAGATTTTATTTTTCATAACTTTTGTTGTTTTTAGTGGTTTGAGGTTTTTTATTATTTTTTTTCCCCTCCTGGTTTTACAATTTTGCACCTGGAATGAAAACCAGAAGTGGCGTAGGAGACTACGTACTCCTTTCTCTGCTCATCAGGGTAATACATATGAGGTCTGTGATAATACAGTGTTTTCACACTCGACAGTTTCAGATTTATGCTCTTTTAGAGCCATTCTGAGGGCCTCAAAATTCCACAATAGTATCATAGTAATCTGTGATGGCATTAGTAGATCATAAATGTTTCTTCAGTGGTTTGCAGGCCAGTGAATAAGGAAACAGAGCATTCCCTGCATTGCAAGTTTAGGTACGTAGGATCCTGTGTAACAAGGTCCTCCTCATCTTTTGACACATAGCTATACTTACTCTGAGGCAGGAAATAAATATGGTGTTTACCGTGATGCTAAACCAGGCAGCCCTTAATGTGGGAAGGTAACACCACTGAACTGTTCTAGCTGTTTTATTTTAAAGATAATGCTGTGTAAGAGAAATTAGATGAATTATACAGGTCTCATGCACTGAGATCTGCATGGCATCGCTAATTTTATTTCAATCTTTCAGTATGTTAATGGTGCTTTTCTTCAGTAATCTTTTCCATTGTCTCTGGTTGTATGTTACAGTTCATTGCCTCCATGGGTCTTCATTCAGCGTTGAAGATAAACTCCAGTGAAATGTTTCTATTTAGGTTTAAATGTATGTTAGCTGAGCAGATCCTATCAGTTTAGCTCTGTCAGCTACCGCTGTGAAGTAGTGTATTGATTAGAAAGTATTGGTATTGAATTACAGGCTTAACACGGACTAAATGCTGTTGTGATCCTTCTTAAAGAGTGCTTGACCTCTGTGCTGGCTCCTGATGCGTGTACAAAGGCTGTAATGCTGGACAACTTCTGGTCTGAACGGGGAACCCTTCCTCAACTGCAGCCCATGAGAAGGCTGGTTGCTAAAGAACTAATTAGCACTTTGTAGTTAAGACGATTCCTTTTCAAAGTGAAAGGGGGCATCTAGTCTTCGATGGCCTTGTCAAGTAGCTTGGGATTTTATATACTTTTATGGAGAGGTACTTTATCTCTGCTGCAGTTACTCAGGTTGTTAATGATAGTGGAAAATAGAGATTAAGACTGGAAGTCCGTAAAAGACTTGAAGTCAATTAGAGACTTCCTATTCAATTTATTTTAGCCCAAATTTTATCTGAGGAATCTCAGCTTAATTCCAGGTGCCAACCAGCCAGCAATGCCTCTTGAGCACTTACCTTCCCTCTGCATACCCTCAAATTCCCCACAAAGTAGATTTCTGGTTTAAAAATTACATGTTTTGTGGATGTGCTTGTAGCAACGCATCTGTATGTTTTGTAAGGGAATAGCTGTTTAACTACATGGCAAGTTACCACCAAGCATTGAGATGGCACATTTTTATCTGAAAAGAAAACATGGGAATATTTATTTTTAAGTTTGTAAAGTGAGATACTGGGATCTACCATACCAGTGTTTTTCTCTTTATATGGACAGAACTTAAAGCTGAATTCATGAATGTGATGAGCAGGATATTAACTGTGACTAAATGGCATCGACTTTATATGCTGATTTATGCAAACATTTCGTTTGAGCAAGTCTGCTACATTCTGTGAAGCAAATTTCCAAAAGAAAAAAGAAGAAAAAAACCTAATTTATATAGCTGATTCCACTTAGACTTTTGCTCATCCTGTTTTGCCACAAGCCAAACTGATAATTTATAAATTTCTTGATAAAATTAGTCAAGACTGTCATACTCCTGAATATTTTCCCTGTTGATTAACAAAGTTTTCTCAGTTTAATATGTAATGGAAAAAAGAGTTTTTCAGAAAGTTGACTTTGAAGCTTTGAAACTTAAACTCCTGACTTTCTGGTTGTCATCAAGGATTCCACAGGATTTCCTTAAAGGTTGTGTATGTCCGTAGCTAGAGAGTTGTACAGGCAGCTGCCATATTTCTAAAGATGATTTCTATTGCTGTGCGAGATGGAATAGGGGTAAGATGATTTCAGCACCATGGTAGCACTTACATTACGCACAACCTGACTGCAGGTAAAACAGCAAATTGTAACACTGCTTACAGTAGACAAAACACTTTTCTAATTTAATTGAAAGAGTAGACCTCACCAGATGGATGATTACTGGCATAATGAGGTAGTAAGATTTTTTTCCTGATGTTTCTGATTAGTGTGATACTATAATTGAGAAAAATTGGGTTTTTTTAATAGCAAAATTCTTGCTTGTTTCCATTCTGTACTAGTAGCAAGTAGTAAGGCAACAGCTTTCTGTGACAGTGGTTTTACAGAGTTTTGATTTTAAGCCAACGTGTTTGGGTTTTTTTGTTCAGTGATCATATTCAATTAACAGTATCATTCTCATTGCCCTGCTTTGCTTTAATGAAAATGCTTATCCTCTTTGCCATGTGGTATTTGAAGTTATATATAGAATGATTGATTAATGGTTGCGAAATTTTTTCCAAAGCTTTTCTGAACCTTCAGCATTCAAACAAAGATAAATTTCAATATTACTTTTCCAACCGTTTGGATTATAAATAGTAGAGGATGTGAATTCCAAGTTTGGAAGCACCAGTTTTTGGCAATCATTGATGCATAGGACCTGCCATCGATTTTAGTCTTGCCCTACTGCTCTTCTTACTGAAATTCAAGATAGTTCTTTGAAATATTATTGCCATATGTACATGATTAGGTAAACCGTTGCTTGATTTTACATATAGTAGTATGGATAGAAAATTTGCAGGGAGCTCTAAGGACGTTCAAGCCCAAATAAAGGACCTTCGTGTGGGTTACTTCACTGCTCCTCCCCAGAATTTTACAGTTCCGTTTGAGCTGCAGTTGACTTTTCTTTAACTGGGCACATCCTGAGCTTTTTGCTCAGGCTTCTAGTCAGTTTGGTCTGCTCTGGAAATTTGGATGCATGAAGACTTCTGTGGAGTCTTGTGGGAGATTGAAACCATTTGTAAGGAAATACTTAAATGCTGGGCCAGGTGTTCATATGAAGATTTTCGGAGAAAAATATGAATGTTAAAAAAAAAAAAAAAAAAAAAAAGAGATTTGTGTTCTCTTCAAGGATTATGTTGCATAGTACACCTAAAGTAAGAATGTTCTTTTATTTCCATGAAAATATACCATGCATATATGTTTATGCTTTGTGGTTTGCTTCTGTCCATCTAAAGACAGCTTAAGCGATACTTATATGGGACCTTTTCTAGTCCTCTAGCTGGAACTGAATGCATATACTGTGGAAGGAAAAATAGTCTTTTTATATTTTATATAAAATGCAACTGCATGCACCGGATCATAGCTAATCAAAACCTAGCTCAGTAAAAGCACTGGTGGTGGAGATACCGTCTTCAAAACGCTTAAGGGTACGCTGTGCTGTGGCCTACAGCAATGACTACAAATTTTGCAGATGTAGCTGAAGTAGCTGGTTAAAAGGTAGTTTGGGAATGTGTAGTGGCATCACCCCAGCAGCTAACGGTGTGCCAGAGTTCTGTGTAAGCTGGGCCAGTTCACAGTGCTTTGTGACTCTGATGCTGTTGATATACGAGTGGGCTAGGTAAAAATTAGCTTGTGTGTTGGCTTTTCCATTTCTTTCATATATCATATGGAATAAAAAAAAAAAAAAAAAAAATCCTTGTTTTTCTCCACAGATTAAATTTCACGTTAATTCTCTGCGTGCTAGTTCAGATTCCTGCTTACTTTCCTAAAACACGATGTTGAAAACTTGGCTCCATTGAAATCAACAGCAAACACATCTGTCTGTAACCCAAATTTCACTCTATACATCTGCAACAGAAAAGCAGGGGCTGCTTTTTGGGATTTGATTAAACGAAATAGACTTCTTTCAGTTTCAGTCTACGGCATGTGTGTGGATCTTTGAAATTCCGGATGAAGTTGCTTTATAGAGTTTGGCTAAATAATGTAGGTATATTGTTTTATTTCTGTAGTGTGGGGTATTTCATACATTTCATTTAATGAACAACAAAAAATATTTTTGTTTCTTCTTTTTGCTTTCTGCTAATTTGTTTGACAGCTGTACATAGACGCTGAACATAGAGTAGATCCACTGTCAGCATACCTTCCATCTTCTCTTATGACAGGCATAAACATGTATGACACGTGGCCATACCTCGGTCATTCCCATTTACTTCAACACTATGTTTGTCTTAATTGTTTTGGGTCCTTTTCAAATTAACAGCATTTCTGCAGTACCTCTATGTTGGATATTTTTCTTCCCCTTGATCACAACAAAGTGTCCAGAAAGTAAGTCAAATTAATCTATTAGTGTTCTGTGCAGCTATAACTTCTATAATTTTTTTTTCAGTAAGACTTTTTTGATTAGCGGCATCAAAGGTTTTTATCAGGTCAAGAAGCGCTGTCTATGCCAGCTATTCTTTGTTCAAGGCTGTAGCAGCAGAACTACAGCATTGTGTTTCAACAAGGCCTCTTGAGGAGGATGAGCTGAGAGAAAGCTGAAAGTGAAACCAAGGAAACTAAACACTATTTAAAAACAAAACTTTAAAGTGATTATTTTTATTTGTTTATTTGTTTTTGTCTCCCAGAACAGTACTACTGCTTGATCGTAAACGCACCATTACATTTTCACTGGCAAAGGAACTAAAGTTCCAGTGAAAGTCAAAGAAACACATATGTTTTTTTAAAACTGTCCCCATAATCTTTATAAATGTATCATTCACCGCTCTGTTTTCTTCTCCAAATTCAAACCACAATATTTTATATGCCTTGAGAGCCTTCTCTTGTCACTTTTTAAAGTTCGATTGTCCTTCTAGCCAGCGTTACGGATTTGACTTTGTTTTTTCTTTTCCACGTTTTCCTCCTGCCTTCCATATTCCTTTAAAATGCCAAATACTAAATTATAAACTGGGAATAAGATATATTATGTAGATGTTTCTGACATGGTTTGTTTAAAATCATCACTCAGAGCAACATGTGACAGAGTCGAAGTAATCTCATCAGTCTTGCAGGCTAGAACGAAATAACTATTTACAGCATTACAAATGTGAACCTGTTCTCTCCTAGAATAGATTGAGTACTCTACCCTTGTGCTGTGCTTTGGTCCTCCAGTGATGTCAAAGTGTCAGCAGCCATTAAGAGAAAAGCAGTATTTGCTTATTCATTGAGAGACAGGTGTCAAATCTGTACTTTACTTGACAGTATTATTTTTTTCTCCTTTAGCAGGAGGACGATTATTTCTCCTGTTCCTTCTTATTACCTTAGCTAAAGAAAATTAGCTTTATTTTTAGTGTCGTTATGCTGCATTTTCTGTTTGCTTTGCTAAAATAATTAGTAACTGGTTTAGTAAACAGTAGATATTAGTAATGTAGATTACTAATTAGATTCTCCGAAAACCATGTTTTGGGAGAAAGTGATGATGCATATAAGTTTTTCTAATATAAGCACTTGGATGATTCCTGTTTCGGGCCCCATGAGCAAAGAGCCCACAAAAAGGGCTTCCCAGAAGTTGAATGCCTGCACTGTAAATCCAGCAGAATGAAAGAAAATAGCTGTTTCTGTGGCACAGGTCTGCTTGAATGAGCCTTTTCGTAAATACCGTTCAGCTCTCCTTTTCTTTCTCTTTCTCAAAATAGTCATCACATAACTGTCTCGATTTCAAGACCAATTTTCAGAAATTACATTTTCAGTTTTATGGACAAGAAAAGAGACTATTTAACTGTATATTTTCTTTGTAATGAGCTTATCTGTAAATCTTCCTGTGATGTTTAAAGTGATGATAAATAAATAAGATTTTTTGTTTTCATATGTTCTTTGTGTTTTCATATATCAGACAACTAGGTGTAGCAGGTGTGATTCTCTTATGGCCACATGACTTGCTGCGAATATGCAAACCAATGAAGATGTTCTATTTATTGCCTGGTTTATTTTATTTTTAGTTTTGCTTCCTTTTTTTCAGTAGGATTACTGAAAATCAGGCTAACCATTCATTTCAAATGTTTTGTCTCTAGCATGTCCTGGAGCACAAACATTTCTTCTTGCAAGCTTTAATGGAATTTAATCTGTTAAATGTAATTTTTCATCTTGCTGATCCAGCTGGGAAGTCTGTAGGTTTGTTATACGTGTTGAGCCTTCCTTTCTTTGAAGTGCTACTGCATGCTGTTGATTGCTGCTGAAAATCAGCTGTGTGTTTTTCTTAGGGAGTAGGTCATACGCGTTCATTTATTTAACAATCTGTTGTCTTTCCTGTATTTCAGTTTTCCAGTTTGACACCGAATTCTATATCAGTGGACTTGCGCCTCTCTGCGACCAGCTTGTTATACTTTCATATGTAAAGGAGATTTCTGAAAAAACGGTAATTGTTTTTATGTTACAGTTTCTTCACAGCACTAAACTGCCCTGTGAGTTGGGCCTTAACTAGTCACACAGAACTGATTATATGTGAAAAAATTTGTAGTCCGCTGGTAGTGAACAGTGCTTGAAACTTCTCTGACCTATAAAATAAGGTCAGTGGAGGTGATGTTGAAGACTTACCTTTCAGAAGTCCCATCTGGGTTTGTTTATTTCTTGCAGGGGTAGAGAAGGTCTCTAAATGGTCCTTCTCTCTCCTTTGTCCTTCCCGCCCCCTCCCCTTTTCTCTCTTTTTCTTTCTTTCTTTCTGCTATTTCTGCACCAGAAGAAATGGAGAATCTTTGTTAGCCAGATGAGAGGCTTGCTGACACCGCATCTTAGGAGAAATGAGAGTAGTGAAGTTGATCAACTCAAGCAATAAGACTCTCTGTGGCAGCGGTGGGATGCATGATTGCGAGCAAGTGGCATCATTGTCTCCCTTGCTTCCAAGACCTTTAGTTGTGTACACCCAGATACGTGTGTAGATAGGTAGAAATTAGAATTCATGTCAGCTGTTTTTACTGCACGCAGGAGAGTGCCGTGTCTGTCTCCGACATTTATTTCATATTGCCAAATAAAAGGTGAGGCAGTGGAGGAAATCCTTGAAGTTGCGGTGTGAGAATGGCAGATGCTCTTGATCATCTCTTTGATAGTACGTCTGCATTAGACAACCATCACCATAGTAACCTTAAGCAACTGGGTGCACAAGTTGCTAGGCAATGAAATGCTGTAGGTTCAAACAAATGCTCGAGCCTGCTGAAATCAATAGGGTTAGCTTCTAGCTTTGCTGCAGGATGTCAGATTATTATTTCTTTATTTATATTAAGGAGAAAAATAATGTCACAGCAGTGTTTCCCAAGAGAGTCGGCACAGTAGTCCTCTAGCGAGAGTCGGCACAGTAGTCCTCTAGCGCGGAAGAGTCGGTGAAAGAAAAAGAGGCAAACATATGGGATAAGGAAGGGGGAGGAAAAGGTGGGTTGAAATGCTAGGGAGCAAGGAAATTGGGAAGCCGCTGTTAATGAAGAAGTAGCATGGGAAAGGAGCTGGTATAAGGGAGGTAGTGACTGATAAAGGTTAAAGTCATTCGAACTGCTTCAGAAAAGAGGGATGAAAAGAGAATTTCCAGGTGATATAATGGTAATAGAACATAGGAAAGAGTTTTTCTTCATGTATTTGCTTTTAATTAGCCTTTTAAACAAACTCTGAATGCTGGACTTTGATAAATTCTCGGTCCTCTAGGTAACTCTAGCAAGGAAACAAAAGTACTCTCCTCCCTGACACTGTGTCTGTGCCCTGGTGTGGTGGGAACCCCTCTGTTAGTGTCTTGGTTCCATGAAGCTGCCTGCGCTTGCAGCAGAAGCGCTGCTTGCTACAAATGCTGTTGGGTTGTGAGAACATTGTTCTTCCTGTGCTCGATTTCACGGCTTTCAAACAACAGCTTCCTACTTGTTACAAATTGGATCAGAATTGAACTCATGGCTTGCCTTGATATTTTTTCTTTTTCCTTTTTTGCACTGGAGCTGTTAAATTGTGAAAAGACCCAAGAGTTGCTGCTGCTGAATGGGTAGGCTAGAGCTGTGTAAATCCACTTTATATGTCTCCTCGCTCTTTCATTCTGTATTTTGTTGTAATTCACAGCCAGAAGTAGAAAATAAGGGATTGTCTTGGACCTTGACTTAATTAAAAATACAGCTAGTTCCAGACAGCGGTTTCCCTTGGATAGAAGATGAAAATCCATTATGTCATCTTACCATAACCACCTACATTGCACTTGAAAGTTCATGGTACTCGAAGATCATCAGCACAGCAAGGTTTTTAGATTATTCTCAGATTAATTTTTTCCCTACTGCTGCTGGATGCTTAAAAATGAAAACTTAAACACCAGCAGGAAAAAAAAGAACCCAAGTTCATCTTGGTACCCGAATATCATTGATTCGTAGAGCTCTGTCCTTTGCAGCCTGAGCCCAGCTGGGAGCGTGTCTCAGATTGTTCTGTTTCTTGTTGAATGCAATGGTTGATGATCATCTGTGATAGCCCTGAAAACTTCTGTGACCAATAGCAGAAAAATAACGAGCAAACTCAGGGGAAGGGTTAGACCTGTGCCTTGTCTAAACCTCCTTCTCTGCACTGATCTGTTTAAGGGAAGCAAGCCAAGAGTAGGAATAACTTTCCTTTGTGTTTCAGACGTGATTACAGATACTCTGTGGAGCACAACTTTGCAACTTGTATGGTTCGCAGCTGAGTGCCCAGTGCAAAGTACTGGACCTTAGGGAATGTTAGCATCTGTTGAATTTCGGCCTTGTTTGTAGATGACCATCAGTTGGCCTTGCTAAGGTAAGTTGTGTAGGATGCAAGTAAGATGTTTGTGTTTTTCTAGGAAGTGGAGTGTTGTGCAAGGCCTAGACTGGATATTGTACAACCCCTACCTGAGTCCTGTGAAGAGATTTCTTCTGATGCACTAACAGTACGAGGATTTCAGGAAAATGAATGCAGAGATTATCATTTAGGTAGGTGCTCTTAATATTGTTTTGTTTTATTTTCCTAACTTGGTTAAAAAACCCCTTGATTTGGGAGGACTTAGCCTCCTGTTTCATTTTTATGTCATCCCATTGAATAACTGGCTATAACTGCTTATGACACTGAAATGTAAAGCAGAAATCCACAAGAACCAGTCACATGAAAGAAAGAAATGTGCATATTTAAATATCATGATTTGTAGTGCTGTCTATTAAGTCAGACATACTGAGGAAGGCAGAAATAATAGATCACATGTAATACCCAGTATCGTGGAAGGCAGTATCTTTGATGGAGATGTATCCAACATGTGATCCATAGGAGCTCTTGTGTCTCTTTGGACACAGCAGGCTTCGGGAATAGTGAAATGAGTGATACGGTGTCTGGAAAAGCTGCTTGAGAGATAAAGATGGAATAAATGTCGTTTTGACAGTAAGATGTGCCTGGATCCACTTAAAAGGGACACACTGATATTTAGCTTCCCTGTATTGATGAAGCTGTTGGCCTATAACAGACCTCAGAATGGTAGAGTGTAATGAATGGAAACTGGAGTTTGGCAAGTTCAGCCTAGAAGATAGGTTTAATTATATAACAGGCAGGGAGATTAAGCCCTGGCACAATCTATACCAGTCTTTTAAAAAAGATGGGGTGGTTTTCTGATATATGTGTTGTAGTCAGAAGGATGCATGGCAAAGCTGATGCGGAATTCCTTGGTGAAGATTATACAGCCTGTGTTATACAGAAACATTCCTTCTGGCTTTTAAAATCCATGAATCTGATTTTTAAGCATCTTCTCTGGCAGCATGCTTCAAATCATAGGCTTGTCAGGCCTCTTTGTGTACATCAATGCCCTTAAGCCACTAGAAATATAGTATATCTCCTCCTCATCTCCAAAACATCTCTGCTGCTATCAGTGGAATTGGGATTTCTTTATACATCTCCCTAAGCAGAACATTGATACCCACAGTTGTACTTATATGCTTAATGAATATTCTAGTTAATCTGACAAGTCTAATTTTTTTGGATGGCTTTAAAACAAGCATTATTTTGTGAATTGCTTTTCAGTTCAGGAGTGTATTTCTATGTGTGTATAGATACAGATAAAGGATGGGGGATGGTTTTCTTTCCTGTACCTACAAAATATCGATGGTGTTTCTTCGTGGGTTCTGTGGAAATAAAACCTATTCTGAACAGTCATCTTTTGTGTTTGATTTTACCTTTAAGTACATTTTTCCTTTGAGCTCACTCAAAAATAAAGGCTTATGGTATAAGCAAATGCATTATACATATAATCTTAACTTATAGCATTGCAAATGCATTGCTGTAATGATGTGCTGTGTCCCCAGGGGTTATGGCATCTATCATTTATGCTTTTGATGGCCTTGACCTTGATGGGGAAGATAAGTTTATTGCAGGCTATGTAGTCTAATAGTCCTCTAAAAGTATAATAATGTGTTCTAAACCATCATAAAGTTTACACATAGTGGATGAATCAGAATTTGCAATAAGCTGTAGTGATTTTTTTTTTTAAAGCTGTTTTGCCATTTAAACCAGTTTTAATTTATTGCAGAATATAGCTTCCCAAAGAAGCATGTTCTGCAGGAGTAACCTCACTGTCTTCCTTGCATCTCCTCTTTTTAAATTCCCCTCAAGGGTGTACTAAAAAGCAGGGCTTTACTTAAGGAAAATATAATAATAATAAAACTGTGTATGCATTTGCAGAGTATTCGGAAGGTGAATCACTTTTTTATATCATCAGCCCAAGAGATGTGGTTGTGGCTAAAGAGCGGGACCAAGATGACCACATTGACTGGCTTCTTGAAAAGAAGAAATACGAAGTAATTTTTACAACATTCTTTCCTTCAGGCTTTCCTGGTTTGGAGATTGTGGTGGGATGATGAACTTTGCTAGGTGATTTGGATTGGATAGTTTCTGTTCCTACAGTCATTGACTAAATGCTTGTGCAGGGTAAGAGTTGACTATACATCTCTCCATCTCTCTGGAGACTTCGTCTTCCTACTGAAACAACTCATCTGAATTGCACCCAAGTGAGGTAGCTGAATTAGATGCTGTGAATACTGCTTTCAGCATCAGATATGAAATGTATTAGCTGTCACTGAAAATTATTAAAGCTGTGTTTTGGCTTTAAAGCAGGAGAACAGTTAACTAACGAGCTACGTGGATGTTTTTCTAGATCTATCCCAACTAAAGAGGGAAGGGAAATGGATTTGGTGGGCAATATTAGAATTTTTCCATTCTGTATCGCTTCCACTGTAGAATGAGAATGTTGTGTTGCGGTACTGTGTGTTGCTCCACGTTACTTGCTTTTGGTGTTGAAGCTTTTAAAAGTAAAATCATAGGGGCTCGAACTGTAGCTATTGGTGCTGAAAGTAGTGATACGCACGAAAAAAACAAAGCCAATATGAAAAAACAAGGGCACACAGCTCCTCTGGGAAAAAGCAGCTCAGTATTTGGTTGCGTAAATATAGGTGTGTTTAAGCATGTATGTCTAAACACCTAAAACAATAATAATGAATTCCTACAGACAGTATCAACATGCACCCAGTATTCTGGATTCTGATGTCCTGCAGTTAATGACTTAGAACACTTGTTACGATGCATGAAGTAACTTGCAAATTCTTATTTATGTGTTATTTGCTGGATGCCTGTTATATAAAAAAAAAAAGTGAGAAGGCCATTCAGGACATATTCCTTTTGTTAATGCAATCATGGTATTCTTCAGGCAGATTTGTTTAAATCCTTGTGGATGCTTTTGCATCTGAATAGCAAACTCATATGATGAGTGCAGTTTTGCAGTTTATGTAAATCACAGCATTTGGTCCCTGAAGACTCCAGTAATTTGCAAGTGACAGCTGTGCATGTGCCTTTCTGAAAGCCGTTCGAGGTAGTAGATAGCTTGTGTGTTATGATGTATGTTAAAGATTTCATTTTGTTTGTAAAAGTGCCAGCTTTGTTTCTGTACATTTGAAAGAGGTAGAAGAACGGCAAATTACACTTAAATATAAATCAGTTTGACGGGAGAAGACTTTTGGGCTGGGGAAGTAAAAGGTAGCCTTTTCCTACCACCTTTCCTGATGTTTTTTTTCACAGGTTTTGGTAGTGAAGGATTCTCATTTGAAAATGATCCAATGCGATTGCATTGTCTGTTTCATTGTAATCTTGCGATTTGATCCTAATATAGTAATGTGGAGTGAACCCAGATGGAAACAAAAGTATTTTCTCTTTGGTTGACTGCTTTTGTTTGAGTATGAATTCAAAGCTGTTCATCCAGCCATAGCATTAAAAATTCTAGTGCTTCAAACACCCTGCTCTGAAAAATAGTTGATTTATGCAGTTCTAGAGCTTTCTGTATTGAAAGTTTGTGTATTTGGCTAGTATCTTTCTCTTTTCTACTTTTTGAATATAGGAAGCTTTGATGGCAGCTGAGATCAGTCAGAAAACCATAAAAAAGCACAAGATTTTGGTAAGTCTCAAAACTTCTATTAAAAAAAAAATTTCTTTTAGAATGCTGTGGGATGCTACAAATACATTCCCTATTCTGTATTGCACCAGACAATAGCTGTTAGGCATACTCCAACTAGCGTTGGATTTCTTGGTTTCAGCTGTGGAACAGGAATGTTAGTGTGTGAAACACGAAAGATTCTGGATTTTATGAAGGTGCTATTGACATTAAAAAGAAGAAAATTCCAGTTCTCTGATTGCTGATACGGTTTTTGTTTGCTTTTACTTTTGTATTAAATTTGTTGTTGTTTCAAGTAACACACAATATTACAATATTACAGATTGGGTGGGGAGTGACACATTTCTGTTTAACTTTTACCTTGTACGTGTGACAGGGTTTTGGCAGGAGTTTAAAAGGTGCAATTGGAAGACCTTTTAAATGCTATTGAAATTCAGTTGCAGTTTCACATCTGGCTCTCTCATGTTGCTTTGCAATTCTCATTATTTTACATAGTTAAGCTCCTTTTCTCCTGTATAGTTATTTCCCATGTTTATAGTCCCTTCACAGAGCAACAAAGGGTATCGAGTTCAAGATAAAAGGGGGAATAATGTAATAGCCACAAAAGCATTGCTAATTTTAGCTCTGTTTTTTGTTGTTGTTGTAGTTTAAATTGACCTCAGTGTAAACACATTGGTATTTCATTAATACTGCTGCTTCTTTAAATGGAAGTTTGTATCTAAGTACAATGTGTTAGAAGATGTGTTTAATTTTTAGCCAGATTACTGCTCTAATATGCACACTGTGTATGCATATTATATGCATATATATTATGTGTGTCTTAAAAATTCTTTTTTTCTTGTGCAGTCCAGAAGTTGAATCAAGACCTAATGGCATGCCATCACCTGTCACGGAGTTTGTGTTATTTAGCTGCTCTGTGACCCTTGCAAAATATGTAAAGAATTCTTAAAGGAGCTCCTCGCAATACATTAGGAGAAAAAAAAAAAAAAACAAAAAAAACAAAAAAACAAACCAAAACAAAAACCACTGAGCAAAACAACAAACCCCAGAAAATCTTTTCTCTTAGTTTGCAGAGATTTGCTTCACTAGGGTGAAAATCAGTGTGGGTATATACAAGCAGAGTTGTTGAGTGTTTGCTCTCTAATGCAAAACCCACGGAATGTCTTGAGGGAAAAAATGTTGCCATGAAGCCCTAAGTGAAGGATCAGTGATACAGGGATTTGAAACAACCCATGCTCTCCCTGCCGAGCAGTGATCAAACCATTGACACCACACTCACACCACCTGACAAGTCTGATGGTCTTGAGGATTTTTTAGGTTGCAGTAATGAACACTGCCCCTCTGCACCTCTTGAGCAGAATGCGAGGGTCCGAAACAAGCACAGATCTACAACTCCTTTCCTTACACCGTCTTCTATGCTCTCTGGGGAGCTGGCCCACAAGAGAAAGGCTGGCAGAAATCTTCATTCTCGAGAGTGGTGAAGTTGAAAATACAAAGGGGGTTCCTATAGTGTAACGAAATCCTAATATCTGGTATATGCGCGTGATTTTTTTTTTTTTTTAATCTTTGTAGTAGCTTGACCAGTTAAAGTTGTTGGATACCTCTGTTCATATTCTGCTCTGCTCAGTACTGTCTTGATATTGATAAAAAAATTTATGTTGTCGATCAGAAGACCTGAATACTCAAATGTTTATTTTTGTAGGAAACAAACATTGTACAGCACTCTTTTTTTTTTTTTTCTTTTTTTTTTTTTTCTGGAAACAGTATGGTTTTAGTAATGTGATTCTTAAGTTATGCAGTGGGTACACTAGGCTGTGTTGACCTTGACACCAATGTTGAGATTACAGCAGGAGGCATGGCTGTTTCGCCAAAATGTTAATATATTAAACACTTACCAGAAAAATTTTACAGCTGACCTGTGTGACAAACTCTTGAAAAGGGCAATTTATTATGTAATAATAAATAATAATCTTGCTAAATTCTTGGTATTTCCTTTGCTTTATGGAGCAGTACTAGGATTTATATTCTCAACCAACATTATTCCCCCCTGCAAACTTTGTGTTGACAGTGTGTCATACAATGGCTGGTGGTTTTCTTTTTGAGATAGCTAATGCACGCGCTGAATGATCAGCTATGTGTTTTGAACAATCCTTAATACGTAGAGGTGGGACAGTATTCTCAGTGTCAATGAAGTGTCAGTGAGGTTATGAGAATTATTTAAAAGAGCATCTTAATTTGAACCCGTGAGTGGTGCAGGCAGGTATTTTGTGTTGACTGTCTGTGGGCCCTACATCTAACCGAGGGCCTGGTGCTTGACTTAACAGCAATGCATACAGCTGGAGTGATAGCTATTGTGGCAGTCAAGTAGTTGACTTCCAAACTTCTATAACTAATTCTTTATTTTTATTCCCTTTAGGATATTGGCTTAGCCTATATAAATCACCTAGTGGAGAAAGGAGAGTATGACCTGGCTGCTCGGTAACTTACTATTAAAGATTTTCTTTGCTGGCTAAAGTGTGCCTGTGTGTGGGGAAAAAGCAAAAGCAAATTATTGATTCTGAAGTATTCTGTCATGTTGATTTTCTGTGTGTTATGGAGCTTCTGAAGTTTTGAAACATACAGATGTATTACTGTGCCCTATATTTTCTTGCCTGTAGTGATGGAAAAGTTAGTTTCTAAACTTTCTAAAGTTTATACAGAATTGAGATATAGGCATTTTTGAAAGTCAGCCTTGATTTTTCAAAGTCATGCTAGATTTTCAAAACTGAGGTTTTCTTTGGATGTTGATCATCTAAGTTTATTTGTGTGTTATTACATGTAAGATCATCAGAAAATAATTTGTGGTTATGTGGGTGTAAACAAAAATGTCAAATATGGGTATCTAAAGTAAGGATCAGAAATTATCTAAGATTTGCATTTTCATGTATGTGTAAGCGTATCTTTTTAAGTGCTCAGTTTTTCGCAGCTGGGATTTAAAAACTTCACTCGTAAAGCTCATACGGCCCTAATCAATAAGGGTGAATGCATAGTAAGCGGTTAACTCCTCTTGGATGCAACAAAATTGTAAGATCTAAAAGGAGGAGTACCAGGCACACTCTGCTTGAAGCAATGGTTGCCCAAATAAGTCACCTTTGAAAGTGTCTTGATAGGGAGAAGAAAGAAGAAAGGAATCCTTGCAGTAATGCTGTCACATTTGTATTATTCTATGTACCTACTTTTGTTCTCTCCCCTTTCATCTTCCTTCCAGAAAGTGCCAGAAAATTCTTGGCAAAAACACAGAACTCTGGGAATTTGAAGTTTACAAGTTTAAAGAAATAGGTCAGCTCAAGGTAAGTTAATTACTGTCTCTACATTCAAGTAATTGGCATGCTGTGTTTCCCGCATGTTTTGACGAAGTATCTAAAGGATCTCATTTAATGGCCCTAGTGTGGTAGCAGAATGCAACGCTGCCCTTGAAATTCCTGCCGCAGACCTCTAGTTGTGCAGTTGTCTTTCAGATTGATGTATATATATTAACAAGCCTCAAAATGGGGTTGGAGGCATAGCACATCCAGGTACTCAGCTATCTATTTTTAACTTGTTGAGAGCCCCCAAGTAAAAGACCCACCCCCAAAGCCTTTACGTGCAAAGATGTTCACAGTTAAATACATCTTTTCCATTTACTTTTTACTGCTTTCCAGTATGTCCTGAAAAATCCAACCCCAACTCTTAAGAAAAATAGCCTCTGTGGGCACCAGCCTTTCCTGAAAATCCAAGTGCCTTGCAACAGAGCCACAGCTTGAAGTGGCAAAGAATAGTGAAATTGCAAAGCGACAGGGAAAACCTGTGTTGTGTGCTGGAAATGGTGGCAAGAAAGAGGAGCAGTCTGCCCTGTCCTGTATTTTTCCTGGTCGCGGGCCAGCTACCATAATGGTATACATTTAATGTGAGATTCTGAGTTAATAAATTGCCCAGGATATAAGGCTATAGCGCTGTCATGGCCAAACCAGTAGAAAACATTATGCACACTCCCTTTGGTAACGCATTTACGTTTATTTCTGAATTTTATGTCTTCCTATTCAAACTCAATGAGCCAAAAAGGACATATTATTAAGATCTCACAGCATGCAGTCCCTTGCTGGTTTTGAACTGTTTAATTCTGTTCAAAGAGTGAAAGTGTTTCAGAAGCGTTACAGTTTTGAGAAATGTCTGGCTTTTGTTTTAGAGCCACACCAGTGCGAGAACAGCCTTGGCTTTTGTATGAGTTCTTAGTGGTTCGGTGCACTCTTTGCCACCTTGGAAGATGAAATCTCATGTTTCTGTCTCTTTATTTCAATCCAATAAAGGACCTGAGTGCAGGTACAGGTGAAATTTTGATAGAGTGCTTCTCAGTCCTTTTGACTTTATTTTGTTTTTTTTAGATGCAAGTGTCTGGAATGGATGTTATTCTTGTCTCCACTTATGTCATCCAGCAGACTGTAAAATATAAAAATATTTGCAGGTTTGCTGCAAAAACATCTCTGCTAAATTACTGCCTTTCTAAACAGTTGGTTGTTTTCAGCCTCTTGAAAGTGGACTTACGAAAACATAAGATGCAGTCCGGTACATTTTTCAGCTTCAAGCTGCAGTTCTAGAAGATGCCTTTCTTATTTTACTATTGCAATTGTAGATAACTTTTTCCAAGTTCCTAAAGATACCGGAATATCATAAAGGATTAACTAAGTTAAGCCAGATCTAAATGACGTGGTTCTTGAAATGCTTGGGGTCACTAGTATGTTATTTGGAATTTTTACCTATTTACCCAACCAGCAGGTATTAAACACAGTAGTGTTAACTGGGCTATAATGGCTTTAAGCCCGGATGAGGAGACTATTTGAGATTTGGAGACAAAGTGTATTTCAAAAGGGAATTTTCTTAAGGAATTTGCACCGCATATAAGCAGTTGCCTGAAGTCTGACGTTTATGATGTAGTGATTTGCCAGTAACTGAGGTGGCAGTGAAACGAAAGTTTAAACTTCCCTTCCTGCAGAGGGACTAATTAGTGATACGCCAATGTCAAAGCCTGTGGGATGTGTGTGTTGTTTCTTTGCTTGTGGGTTTAGGGTTTTTCTGAGTGTCCTATACTAAAAGGTCCTGTTTGGCTACCAGAGGCTGCATTTTGTTATCGTGATGTCTCTCCTGTCTTTGGTGAATGTCCTCTAGCAAACCTTGTCATGGCAGTTTCAAGATTTTAGAGCTTTGCAGCGATCTGCTCCTCTCCTCCTCCAGCAGCAGTGGCTTGATGGAGTTTCACGCTCGTGCTTGAGTTACTTCAGTGTAAAATCCAATGCCTCAGTTCAAACAGCTGAGGAAGATGCCAAACTCTGTCAGTGCTGGCCGTTGTGGGATGAGGGATGTGCTCCATTCTGTTGACTCTGCTGTGACAGCAGTGACTTTCAGCAGGGGTGCAGGATGATCAGCTAGCAGCAGCAATGCTTTAATGACCAAACGTTGGCTGGAGGACACATGAAAGACTTCACCTGACTGTGGCGGGCATAGCATAGAGCAGCATTACCCAAACAGCCTTTTTCATCTCATAGGTATCCTCTGAGGAACAAATAATTGTGGTTTAGGCTTATCGGTGAGATGTTTTTAGGCAATCTCATGTCAACTTTTATATGGATTTTCTTGTATATACCCCGCCCTTATACCTATTGATCAAAAGTCAGAAAGCAAGTCTTAAGAAGAAAAAAAGGAAGAAAATATTTTTGTGTATAGTATCCTCTTTTGATCTGAAGTCACTTTCCCCACATGGTTCAGGCATTGATACAAAGGCATCCTGATTCTGGAGCTTTTTGTCTGACCTCGCTCCTTAACTAGTGCTTAAATTAAAATAGGAAGAGTTTGTAACCTCCAGCACAGGTCTTCGTTCACCTTTGTGCCTAGGCTTAAAAATAACTTGGACGCTTCTCAGTCTTTGCTGAGCACAGGGGCCAAACTGCAGGAGGTGGTTGCGCTTTTCCTTCAAAGCAGTGGGACTTGGGGCAGGAGAGATGTCCTTCCTGGGGCAGGAGAGATTTCCTTCGTGAGGCAGCATGGCCCACATGCAACGAGGCAGCTGCAGCGCTCCGCAGCTCGCTGTGAGGCCAAACTGCAGCCAAGAGTTGCAGCAAAGCCTGTCGGGCAAGGCTGTTCACTGCGAACGTGGCAGGAAGGTAGAAAGTAGGTACGAAAACAGCCATTGGAGAATGTCTTCTGCCTTCGAGTCTCCAGCTGATGTCCAGCGTGCTTTCTTTATGGTTGGAAGAGGCTTTTTTATGAGGGGGTCAGGAATATGATTCCCCAGGGCAGCTGGCAAGACTGTGCCCTGAATTAGCTATTAAATTCTGTGACAGACGGTGGGACCTGATGTTGGCAGCACGCTACGTTTCGAAGACTGGGCAAGCTCAAACAGCGTGGGGAGAGAAGAGGTTTCCTGTGAGCAATGAACTTTTAATTTTTGCAAAGTCATTAACAATGCTTTTTTTATTGGTCTTTTATTTTTGCCTCCTTTTTCACCTATGGATGGAAGACTTTAATGAAATATGTAACTTAGGCAGTTGTTTTCATGTAACTACTAGGAGACCGTTGTGAATAGTCACTGCTGTCTGTAAAACTGAAAAAAAAAATAGATGTAGTGAAATGTTATTTCTCCTGCTTTGTTCATGCAACTTCAGTAACAAAATGCTACTGCACCATGTGCCATTGGTGGGCAACAGGCAACATCTCTGCATGTTTGGAGGAATTTCATCAGTATTGGGCCTTCAGCTACAAACCCCAGAGTCCCAACACAGCTGGCAGCGGTAGGGTTTATTTTGGCAGGCAGTAATAACCTTGGCCTCTAGTTGCATGGAATAGTAGTGCTAATAAGATGCTGTGCTGAAATTCCAGAGTATGAGCCGATTCATTCTGGCAGGATCTCATCTCCTGCCTGCCAGAACGCAGTTCCTTAACACCTCCTATAGAGCAACAGATCACATGCCTTCACCCTTTCCGTGGAGAGATGTATTCTCAACTTAATTTTCATTTGGGTATGTAAAAATAGCTGGCAAAACAGAACTCTTCATAAAATTCAGTGACCTCAGTAAGTCATAAATCAAAGGTACATATTTTTCAGCTGATGAATGCTTATACCTTTTTACAAGATATAAGACCAAGACTGGACAAAATGAATTTTGAAAACTACCTTCTTCTGAGGGGTCTTTTGTGGGTTTTATTTTTAAACGACTAGCAGTAAATATTCAGACTTCTCTAAGTGCAATGGCTGATACTCGCATTCTACCTAGTATCTTACTACTGTCTTTCTGATGAAAAATTCTTTCTGAGAGGTAATGCAATTACAACATGTACAACCCTAAAGTAACTAACTTTTGGATACTGCTTACAGATATGAATATACAGCACTTCCAGTGTTTACCAGGAGCCATGTTTTGCACGTAGCTTTGTTTTTTTGTTTCACCACAATTCCTTTTTCTATCGTCAGTGTGCCAGGATGTTGCACGTTCCCCTTCTGATGCTTTATTCTCTTTGTTCCTATAGGCAATTAGTCGTTACTTGCCCAGACGGGATCCGGTTTTGAAACCTCTGATCTATGAAATGGTCCTGCATGAATTTTTGGAGAGTGACTATGAGGTACTGCAGCCTGACATGTCCACGTGTAATATCTATTGCCAGCAAAACACCCTCAGCAATGTGGAATTCAGATAGCAAATGCTCTGTTGTATTCAAACAGATTTTCAGTGGACAATTTAACAATAATGAAAAGGTTAAAAAGATGGATTTTGGTTTAGAAGTTAAAAGAACAGGTAGAATGCTATTCATAGCACGCAAATACTGTGAGATTGGTTACTTATTATAAATACTATTATTTTTAGTTTGTTTAATGTAGCACAAGCAGTCAAGGTGCTGCACAAATCACACAGCACCTGAAAGAGACCCAGCTTCATGAATCTTAATAACATTGCCCTAAGAAGGAAAATCTGCGTTATGCACTGTGCACGTCTGTGGGCACGTAAAAGTGGCTTAGAGGTGAAGCACAGCAGGTATCATCTCAGAGGCTTAGCCGAAGCTTTGATGTTTTGAAATGTTCCTTGGGCAGTTCTTTCTGTTTCTGTTACAATCTTTTATACTTTTAGGGGTTTGCAACCCTGATAAAAGAGTGGCCTGGAGATCTCTACAACAACACAATCATAGTTCAAGCTGTAGTGGATCACCTGAAGAAAGACCCCCAGAACAGGACTTTGCTACGAACGCTTGCAGAATTGTGAGTACAATTTTAAACTCCTGTTACAAAAAGTAAGCTTGAAATAGTATACTATAGTTTGTAAATATCTGCCTAAATCTTTTAACAGAAATATCTGCTTTATGGCAGTCTACAGAGGCTTTCTCTACTCTCCACTCCACTTTGCTGATTGCACAGCTTAGCAATTCTTTTCTCTCTCTCATAAAGTGTATGCTGAGTATGAAAGCAAAGAGTTTAGTATAAGATTGGATTTGCTACTCCTCTTTCCAAAGCAAATAGCTAGTGTTCCTCTTTATGCTGTCAGAGGAAGACTCTTTTGTGAAGTGTGCATTTCAGAATTACCCAGAGGAAACTAAAGTGTTGTTTTTTCCCTGCTATTTCAAAAGTAGTATATTTAAGTTTATTGCATGGCTGGAAATGTGTGGCTGGAAAATGTAGCAAAAACTGATTGGGTTCTAGGTTATATCATACAAGGATAAAGCTCTTTGGTTTTCTCAGTCTGGTTCCCATGTTAAGTTCTTTTCATACTGCTTCTTTGAAGAAAGCAAAGCTGCTGTCTATGGCTATGTTACAGTCTATCCCAAAGTTTTCAGAGAACAAAGTTTTTTACCTCTGAAAAGAGTCCCAGTTAGTTTCCAGAAAATAGAAAAGCTAGCGTTTTGTGTGGCTTCCCTTGTGGTTTGAAAACCACAAAAAATGAAAATGCAGAGAACCACAGGTCAGAATACAAATGTGGTGGCTGATATCAACAGAGTGGAAATTAGTGTTGCCCAGTTTTTTATTTCCTTTTAACAAAAGTGAATCACAGCAACTATTTAGATATTCATCAAATCAAGTAGCATCTTGACAAGCTTTACATCCTAGAGTATATTTGTATTTTCCCTCATAGGTAATATTTCCTACATTTAGATATGTAAAGTCACGTGTATTATAACATTGTTTTTTTATCAGGTATACTTATGACCAGCGCTATGGCAGAGCCCTAGAAATTTACCTAACTCTGAGGCATAAAGACGTCTTCCAGTTGATCCACAAGCACAATCTTTTTAGTTCTATCAGAGACAAAATTGTTCTGCTCATGGATTTTGATTCAGAGGTATGGTGATCTTAATGATTTTATATTCACTTTCCACTAGGGCTATTTTAACAGATGAAAAAAAAATGAGCTAAAGATAGTGTTGAGGCAGAGGGTGTGTTTGCTGTGTCTGGATACATTCTGAGGTGAGGAAGATGATGTTTGCCTAGACTGTGAAATAATTGACCCAAGGATGATTTTTTTCACTCACAGTGAGAAGCATATCAGATCCTAGATCATCGCTGTGATTCTCAAGTAGACTTCCATGATGATATTCTTTCTGCAATTTTAATCAAATAATGCTATTAATAAGCCATAGAAAGGAGGCAGTGAATTTATTGTGAGGCATATGTTAAATGTACTTGCCACTTTTCTTTCACTACAGTCAATTAATAGAATAGAATAGACTATTTCACTTGGAAGGGAGCTACAACGATCATCTAGTCCCACTGCCTGACTAATTCAGGGCTGACCAAGTTAAAGAATTTTGTTAAGGGCATTGTCCAAATGCCTCTGAAACACTGACAGGCATGGGGCGTCAAACACCTCTCCAGGAAGCTTGTTCCAGCGTTTGACCACCCTCTCAGTAAAGAAAAGTTTCCTTATGACAAGTGTGAACCTCCCCTCACAGACACAGCTTTGAGCCATTCCCATGTGTCCTGGCACTGGATCCCAGGGAGAAGAGATCAGCACCTCCCTCTCTACTTTCCCTCCTGAGGAAGCTGTAGAGAGCAGTGAGGTTGCCCCTCAGCCTCTTTCTCTCCGAACTAGACGAGCACAAAGTCCATAGCCACTCCTCAGAGGACATGCCTTCCAGCCCCTTCACCAGCTTTGGTGCTCCCCTCTGGACGCATTCAAGGACCTTAACGTCCTTCTTAATTGTGGGGCCCAGAACTGCACAAAATACTTGAGGTGAGGCAACACCGGTGCTAAATACAGCAGAGTAATCACCTCTTTAGACCGGGTAATTACACTATGTTTGATGCACCCCAGGATGTAGTTTGCCCTCTTGGCTGCCAGGGCACACTGCTGGCTCCTGTTGAGCCTCCTGTCAACCAGCACCTCCAGACCCCTTTCTGCAGGGCTTCACTCCAGCTGCTCATCTCCCAGTTTAGACTTGTACCCGGCACTATTCCATCCTCGGTGCAGAATCGGAATTTCGGCTTGTTAAATTTCATCCCGTTAATCAAACCCCAATGCTCCAGTCTATCCAGGTCTGTCTGCAAAGCTCTTGTCCCTCGAGAGAGTCAACAGCACCTCCCAGTTTAGTATCATCAGCAAACTTGCTGATGCAAGAGTGCATTCAACTCCTGCATCCAGATCATTGATAAAAATATTGAACAGACTTGGCCCTAGCATTGAGCCCTGAGGAACACTGTTGGTGACCAGTTGCCAGCCAGATGTAGCCCCATTCACTACAACCCTTGAGCCCTGCCGTTCAGCCAGTTCCTCACCCAGTGCACTGTGTACCTGCTCATCCCACAGCTGGACAACTTGTCCAGGGGGATGCTGTGAGGGACAGTACCAAAAGCCTTACTAAAAATCCAGAAAAACTAGATCCACCGCCTTCCCTTCATCCACTAGGCAGGTGACATTATCATAGAAGGATACTAAGTTAGACGGGACTTTCCCTTTGTGAACCCATGTTGAAGCTTGGCCTCCTTCCAGAGATCATACAATTTCTTTTTCCTCCTGACTTCCAAGCAGAGTTCCCTGTTTCAGACAAGCTGGTTCTGCCCTGCTTGCTTCACTTAGGACACGATGGCATTGCCTGCTCCTGTGCTTTTATAAGGTGGTTCTCCAAAAGTGACGAGCGCTCATGTACTCCTATGCCCTCAAAAGCATATTCCCAGGGGACCCTGCTAAATAGCTCCCTGAATAGCTTGAAGTTTGCTCTCCTGAAATCCAGGGTAGCAACTCTGCTGTTCTTTTTTTTTTTTTCTTATTACACTGAAAATTTTAAACTCAACCATTTCATGATCACTGTGGCTAAGACAGACACCTACCATCACATCCCCCACAAGTCCTTCTGTAGTCACAAAGAACAAGTCTAGGAGGGCATCTTTCCTAGTTGGCTCACTTCGTACTTGGGACAAGAAATTATCTCCTACAAAACTGAGGGATTTCCAAGACCTGCTCATCACAGCAGTATTGATAATTCCCAGTTCAGATCTGGGAAGTTGAAATCTCCCATAAGGACAAGGGCTACCGATCCAGAAATTTTTCCTAATTGCCTATAAAATAACTCATCAGTCCTTACATCCTGACTAGGCGATCGGTAGTAGACACCTACTCAACGTCTCCTTTGTTTTCCATCCCGCTAATCTTCACCCAGAGGCTCTCAACCACATCATCACTAACTGTAAGGGCTGTTCTATCAAACCTCTCCCTTACATACAGTGCAACACCTCAGCCTCACCTGCCCTGCCTGTCCCTCCTGAACAGCCTGTAGCCCTCTATTCCAGCGCTCCAATTGTGGGACTTCTTCCTCCAAGTCTCACTAATACCAATGATATCGTAGGTCTGGGAGCTGACCGACACTTCCAGTTCATCCTGTTTCTTTCTCATACTGCGTGTGTTGGTGTACAAGCATTTCGGATACTCTCCTGCATCCTCCATGCTCCCAGGGGCAGTGTAAATGCTCCCACTAGCATCGCCACCCTTGGCTTACCTACTGCAATCCTGTTGGTATTTCCTTCCCCCATTGATTGTAGTTTAAAGTGCTCTCGATCAGTCCCGCCAGCTTACACCCAAAGATGCATTTTTGCCATCGGGACAGGTGGATCCCATCAGGCCTTGTCTCTCAAAGGCTCTTCCATGGTTTAAAAACCCACAGTTTTGGCAGAGGCACCCGTCCTTGAGCCAAGTATTGATATTCTGGGCTTGCGTGGATATCTGAAGCCTCCCCCCATTACTGGGAGGATTGAGGAAAACGCTACCTGTGCTCATGAATATATATATATTTTTTTTTTTTTGCTTTTGAAAGTTTGCAAGGTTATTAACCTAAATTTCAAGAATAAGAAGTATGTGGTTTGTGCTGAATTCAATCTTCTTTCTTCCCAGCTGGCTATAAAACCTCAGCAAATGAGTTTTGGTATGATCCTTGGGGAGAAATCAAGTGGATCTGCATTTTCTGTGCAGCGGTTGTTTAAGCACTGGAGCTAAAATACGGAGCCATCTGTACCAAAGATGATAATCTTTGGTTTGCCCATTCTAAACTACAAAGGGCAAAAAAAGAGTATAATTCTTTTTTTGTTAAATAGCATAAATCATATCAGGAATCTGTGGGTTTGTATTTTTTTAATGTGAAGCAAAGTTTGCTCTTCTAAGAGGAACCAGAACCAGAATCCTGGTGGCCACTCTGCTTACATGGTCTGGTCTGCTTGTGTTATGGTATCGGTGTGCAGATAGTTCGGAGGAATCCAGTTGTAAGGGAAGTTGAGTCGTGTGTTTCCTATACAGCCATCACCTGCAGTTTCCTTTAGCAATGGGACAAATAGTATTTCTACATCATTTGATGGTAGCGTTCTGTGACCCATGATTCGATGGGCATAATTCACCTGCAGTGTAAGTGCACAGTATTGATTGCTATTAGTGTGGAAACTTAGGAGAAGTATTCTGGAAGAATACATGATGTCTTCTCCTGTAATGCTGTGCTGTCAGGGAATGCTGATGTTATGCAAACTACTCTCTGAATTACTGTTGCTGAAAAGAGTAGGTCTGCAGTATTCTTCTGATACCCATCAGTGAACAAGCATAATACTATATGGAGTGTGAGCAAATGGATGTACCTGTTTCTTAACTGAGTTCTCTTTCTTTACTTTAGAAAGCAGTAGACATGCTTTTGGATAACGAAGATAAAATTTCCGTGAGTATAACAAGTTCACGGCATGGCAGTCCAATGCTTCTATTACCCATCCTTTCAGTCCTGTAAATGTTAATCACAAGTTTGCTAATCTGTTGGGGTTTGTTTATTTTCTCTCAGATTGACAGAGTTGTTGAAGAATTAGAGAACAGGCCTGAGCTACAGCATGTGGTAAATATTTCTGTATTCTGTTGGTTTCGAGTTGAGCTGAATAAACTCGTTGCTGGGCATATCTCTTGCAGATGAGGTTATCCTGTCAAAATGCACGTGACACTAAAATGTCGTAAATCATCAGAGCCAAAGTGGCTGCTTATTTGCTAATCTATTTTTTTAACCTGGCCATAGCATTTTTACAATAGTAAAATAATTTTAAAATGTGTACCTGTGAGAACTTGAAAACATACTGCTTACTTGTTAACATACCTTGAGGTACTCCTTATGACATTGCAGACACTTTTCTTCTCCGGTCAATTACTTCTTGCCTGTATCCCTCCTCTTTACCTACACAAAAATGGGATTGGATGTCGGGTGCAGGTCTGAAGCGTGTTTTGATGATCCATAGAGACAGTGAACTGCTTGCCTTTCTCAAGCTGTAACTTCCGTACACTGCAGGGTTGTTCTTGTTTGAGCAGAATTACAATATCACTGTAAGGCTGTGGCTCCACATTGCCATTCCAAAAGCACCCCTTCGGTTTGAACGTGCGGTCAGTGGAATACGTAATGTGTAACCACGGGCTTGGGCTGTATTAGGGAGGGAAGTTTAACTTGCCGCTGTGTGCAAGCGGGGCTCAGGGCACCAGTCTGGTGGAGAGTGAGTTTATGTGTTAGAGATCTGATTATAGGAAGCAGCTCTATGGAGTGTGCAGCCCGCAGCCCAAGAGCTTTGCAAAGACGACTGACTGACTGTCAGTTTGTGGAAGGGTTGCATCAGTTTCAAAGTGTGAAGCCTGCTTCCCTTTACATAAAAGTGACTCTCCGGATGATTCTCACGGCTTTTCTGTGCTCATCTAGAGAGAAGGAGCTTTGCCCCAGTATCTATACTTTCAGGTACTTTGGTTAAAACACTTCACATTGTAAAAATTTGATCTATTGTTATCTGTAATGGTGAAGCATATCTAGATAACCAAAATGCTTCATTTGACATACTTGTCCAAAGTTTTCTGTAAAATTCAAAATCCAGTAGTTTCATTGAAGGTTAAAGGACAATTTCTTAACTGTTGCTGAAAACCTGCTTTATAGAGCTGGTTTTGGAGATTGGTGTGATGAGGGTACTTCAGAAAAATGTAAAATTAGTCTTTTGAATCAGAATTCAATCTCTGTGCCTTTTAGTACGTGTTAGCACATTCCTGAGGAAATTAGGAGGAGTTTTTTATTATCAAAGAACAAATAATATTGCCTAAGTGGTTTTGAGTTCTGATACTCTCTCTTTTGATTCCTAGTATTTGCACAAGCTTTTCAAGAGAGACCACCATAAAGGCCAGCGATATCATGAGAAGCAGATCAGCCTTTATGCTGAATACGATCGGCCAAATTTACTACCATTTCTCAGAGACAGCACGCACTGTCCACTGGAGAAGGTAAGCCCCCAGAATCTAAACACAGGTCGTCGATTTTTTTCATGTCTGTAGCTTGTAGTGTTGTGAATTTGTTACTGTGTCTGGTACTGCCCTCTACTGCCAAAAGGAGGGATCCTTTGTGTTTGTGACCATCACCTGCAGAAGTTTGGATTGCAGAGCTAGCCCACAGCTGAGACCTTCCTCTCTCAGCTTACAGGGCAGGAATCGGTGGGGACTTTTAATGTAGAAGTTCTGAATTCACACATGATATCTACACATCAGTGCCTGGCCTAACTGGACAGCAGGTTGTGGTTGCAAGAAATTGACAGTCATTTTACCAAATCTAGGACTAGTCAGTTTGTTAGATCTTGAAAAATTAGTAGCTTGAACTGGAGTTTTTCTAGCTTTGTATTCTGAGGCCTTAAGTTGCTTTCAAATCATATACACAATATAACAAGTCACTAAACTAGCAGAGCTAAAAGTATTTTGTCTTTGTACTTCTGGTAGCAGACTTGGGGTTTTACAGACTACCATGTTTCTACCCCTTTTAACCATTTTACATTTTCCTTCCTTGCTCTTTCTTGTCAAATTAAAAGTTATAGTTAAGGGCAGTCTTGTTTTTTTTTTTTCCCCCTGCTTGAATTAATGTGAATCAAATGGAAATAAAAGTTTTCATCTTTAGTGGAGTCACGATTTTATTATTTGTATTCGTTGCTGTTAATGGCCAAGCAGAGCAGACTTTGTGAAAGGATGCCTCTCTGTGTGCAACTATGGTGATGACACCAGTGGAGTAGTTTTAAATGTAATATTGAATATTGTAATTTACATGGTTGACATTCTGTGGAGAACTAGTACTGTTCCTGGCACCTCTCTTGTTTTGCGTGCTTTTATCAACTTTACTGTGCAACAGCAGGAAACACTGGAAAATACTTCGTTAGGATTGCAGGCTTGGTCTTTGTTGAAACCATCGCACGAGACTAGGTTGTCCCAGTGATCTTTTTAGGCAATGAACCTGGAGGTTTCCAGCTACAGACTTTTGTCTACAATGCTGGTTTATTTAACTCTCCTGGTCTCTCTCAGTTTTTGCCTGACATATTATTTGTGTGATCATGGTTTTATGTGTAACACCTTACCTGCACTTTTTTTTTCATTTGGTGCAGATTAGTTTTAATTATTGCAGATCAAGCCACCCATCTTCAGTGATGTGTAGTGCAGAAAGGTGCTGTGTGTAAATGATGCAAGCACATTGCTGGCACTGCTTTGCTGAAGTTACAGGTGATGAGCAAGAATATTGCAGAGACCCATGAACCTTTGGAAGGTGCAGTACAATAATTACCAAAGGGAGAGAAAAGGATATTAGAAAAAGTGTAATTCTAACTTTACATTAAAATGTTAATATGTTTCAGTAAGAAGCTAAGGAAGAGAGGAAAGATACCAACACTGTAAAAAACTTGGTTGAATTTACTGTCACTGCTAATTCTGTAGTTATACTTCTTACCATACAGATCATGTAGTAACACTTTTTGCCACATGCAAATCTTTGTTCTAAGGAAATGAAAAGGGGACCAAGAATTTCCCAGTTATCAATATCTTCAGTTCCTGTTAAGCAGATACCAGTGCAGAGTATAAATTACAAAAAAAACCCACAATATTTGAACAAATTCACACTTATTGCTTTAAAGTAATTATAAACCTGTCAGGAAGAAATAATTCTTGTTTTTTAAAAGTAAGCCACTTTTATTCAAGTGCAGTTTTAGCAAATGTTTTATAAAGTGAACTGAAAGAGAAGTAGGAATGTTCTCTGTTTTCCTCTAGAGGGAGCATGACAGTCAATAATGTGCAGCATCCAGAAATACTGAATACCTGATACTTTGTAGTTTAGCTTCTAAGTAGAGAGAAAAAAGGCTGTCAGCTGTGTTTATAACTTATTAGTATTATTCATACCTTCATTCCCCCGAAGTATCTGGTCAGTAATTCACTTACCTCTACCCTGAAATTCATTGTCTGTATCTCTAATCTGTATAGTAATCCTTCTGAAATAATTTGAGAATGCAAGGAAAAGTTAATTCCTACCTACATCTTTAGCTGTAGCTGTATCTTATGCATTTACAGTTTTGATTTCCAAGTATGAAAGTCTTTATTGGTGATCAGTTTTCTTCACAGGAATGCTGTGAATCTTGAATTTGCTTTCTTCTTCCAAGTTGACCCTGCTCTGGCGGGGGGGTTAGACTAGATGATCTCCAGAGGTCCCTTCCAACCCTAACCATTCTGTGATTCTGTGAAACAGACATGGCATCATTTATGGCATACCAGTCCTGCCAATTTTCTGTTACTAAAAACTTGTTGGTAATGAGTTTGGTAGTGTTGGTAATTGTGCTAAGTGTGTTTCAACTACACACAGATTCTTCAACTGCTTGTGGTATTTAGTCCTCAGGTCATTAAACCAAATTTACAAGAAATGCTTCCTTCTTATTTTTTCATTTTTGCACTAGATTATTTTTGTATTGTCTTCTTGGAGGCCATTGGTGCAAAATTTGGAGGGCACTCATTGCTTCCCAAAGCCGTTCTGATTACACTGAGGAGATCTACAGTCTTGTGTTATGAATGAATATCAGGCAGACATCCATCACTAGAGATCTCATAAGTCCACCCACAGGAATCCAGTCTTGTCAGCAGATAACCTTAATGCTTTTGGATTAACCAATTTTTGGAAGCAGAAGAAAGACGTTTCCAGTAGATTTAAAGGTAGAGATTGGCATAATCCAGACTGAAATACCTGTTCTGTCCCCAGATTTATTTAATCTTGGAGAAAAATAAAAAAAAAAAATTGTCATGGAGTTTGTCCTCCTAATTAATGCCAGACAGCCTGACAGTGCATATGAAGGGAGCTGTATTCTTGTCAAAATGAGTAATGCAACTTCATGGGAAAATATCTTTAAGCCTCTTGCAGCATTTGTGATCAATAAAATATCATGTTACATGGTTCCCTGTATTCTTTTTTCCCTCCTCCCTTCCCTTAAATTCAAGGCTCTTGAGATCTGCCAACAGAGGAACTTTGTAGAAGAGACAGTCTATCTTCTGAGTAAGTAACGCTCACTGTGATAAATTACAACATGATTTTAATCTTGTCATAAAGTTTATGCTGCAAAAATGTATGATGTATTGTCTAATATTGTTTAACACACTTTCCCAAAGACAAAAGTTGGTATGCAGTCAGTAGAACCAAATAACACGATTTAGAAAATAAAACAAATCACTGGATTATTCATATGATGTCTTAACTCCATATATTGTGTTACTGCTTTTCTGATTTGGTGTTTTTCTGGGGTTTTGGAGGTGTTGCAGGGACGTGGGGAACAGGTTGTGAGGCGGTATGTTTGAGACGGTCTCCAAGAGAAGAGTAATGCTGTCAGTTTGAAGAGGGAGGAGAAATAAAACAAATGGTTTATTCTGAATACATCTCAGAAGCTGATTGTTATATTTTGCTCAAGTGGAAGATTTGCTTATTTTTCTTATTTTAGTAAAATTAATTGCAAATTAACTCCCCCAGCAGGCCAGGGAATCTGCCTTTGAATGGGAGGCATTGTAAGACTAAGATTTTTATGTATGTTTGTATATTAGTCATGAATCAAATGGAAAGCATTTTTTTTAATCAATATTTGTTTTAGTAAGAGGAATGTTTTGTGTACCGTTTGAGAGCAGAGTAGGATTTACTCGTGGATTTATTTAAAGAATAGTTCAGCATTTCTACTATTTCTTCCTTCCTCTCATTTCCTATGGGTGTAAGCTGCGCTATATTTACTGCAAATTAAAGAGTGTCCATGAGGGCTCTTTAAAGGGGGTATTTCATGTCATAGTTTACATGCACGTGCTCCCCCTTACATTAGATGTTGCTGTGGTTCGAACCCCTAATCTAACCCAGCACATCCTTAAGAAAGGCTCCTGGTCCCAGTCCAGCAAAGTGCTCCAAGCACTTGTTCACGTTATACTGATTGCTCTGGGATTTGCATTCCTACATTAAATCAGCTTAGATTATATTTGATCTTGGTTGAGTTAGTCTGAGGCACCTTCACAGTTATAAAATTCATATTGAAAGAACTTCTTAAAGCGCTAAGCATTGATAAGCATTTAGGATTTATAATCTCTTTTCATATTTTTTCCTTCTAGGCAGAATGGGTAATAGCCGCAGTGCCTTGAAGATGATAATGGAAGAATTGCAAGATGTAGATAAAGCTATTGAATTTGCCAAGGAACAAGATGATGGAGAGCTTTGGGAAGACCTCATTTTATATTCTATCGACAAACCACGTAAGCAGGATAATTTCTCAGAAGACTTGTATGTGTATCTTTTTTTTTTTTTGAATGCTATTGCAATTAAAGGATTGAATTATTCACGTGTGTGTTAGCGAAGGTGTTTATTGATGGCCAGGGTGGTGTTCTGGTTTGTGGAACACAACATAGCTGTCCTACTGTACATAAAAACTTCCAGTAAGGCAGCATGTGGGCATACTACAGAATGAGTACTTAGGGTTTTAACATTTGACTACGCTCTGCATAGTTATGTCCTTAATGACAAATAAAGGGGAGAATGGTGCTTTTAATTTGGCAGAACGAGGCTTTATTTTTAGACAGCCTCAAAACATAGTCTGCAGAATTGATGAGGATGTTGTGTAGTGTGTTTATTGCAGCTGCTTCCCTTTGAAATTCTGAAAATGAAGAACCTACACCTTTCTACCCCTCAGTAGAATAACTAATTTGTTTTGGTTTTGGGATACAAAGGTAAGATCTGTAATAATGAGTGCATTTTGCCTTTCATCCATTATATGAATAGCTACTCAGGTTTAAAGTTTAGATGGAACCAGAAACTGACAATCTCATAAGCAACATCAGTTTTGTTCAGGAGGCAGATTCAAAGGAGTTAATATGACTGAGAAAATAGAGAATTATTTTAACTATCTACTCCATTAGTTTTGCAACCTCTTCTGGGGTTTTAAATCCAGGCTTTAAAGTCTCTCTTGGGATCTCTTTTCTGAAGGATTGAACGTCTTGTAGAATTAGTGTCAGAATACATATCTTCTCATCCTTTGACCACTAATTCTGATGGGAGTAAGCAACCAAAATTTCTGTTACTCCTAAAGGAGGATGGTATTCTCAAGTTACCCATACTTAAATGCAGTCCATCACTAAAAGTGATGCTACAATTAGTGACATCTTTAGCGCAAAGGGGATTCAAAGCATATAAAATTCTCTCGCATGCAGAGCAACTCCAGTGATATTCCCCAGTTTTGGGAGCTGAATAAAAAACACAGCCTCGAGGTTCATCTTTCTAGTGTTTCATTTAGCCAGGTGCACTTCAAAAAGCAAGAGACTTCTGTGTCACTCTCACCAGTGTTCAGCAACACTTTGGAGTTAGGTTAAGTGCTTCAAAATTTGTTATTAAAATCTGGAACAGGGAATGGAGTCGTCACATGATGTAGTTAATTTTCTGGCTCTATTTGCTCGAGTGCCCTTTCTATTGAATTGAAGTGCATTATTTACTTCTGGGTTTGTACTGGGTACCGTTACCCCTTTTCTAAATACCCTAGAAGTTCTGCCAAATTCTGCCAAATTCTGCCAAATTCTGCCAAATTCTGCCAAATTCTGCCAAATTCTGCCAAATTCTGCCAAATTCTGCCAAATTCTGCCAATTCAGCCAAATTGTAGCTTCCTGTCTTACCCAAGGGCCTGTATTCAAGTAAATACAGCTGCAAGAAACATATGAAAGCTACATAAATGAAGTTTAGTGTTATCACTTAGTAGAGAACTGTCATAAAATCAGCCAGAGCCTGTAGCTTGTCACCAAAGCATCCTTTAATCAGGTATTTTGCTGGATTTTTTTCTTAATTTCTTTGCCTCTTGTTTTTCACAGCTTTTATTACTGGTTTGTTGAACAATATTGGAACCCATGTTGATCCTATTCTTTTGATCCACCGCATTAAGGAAGGCATGGAGATTCCTAATTTGAGAGACTCACTAGTGAAAATTCTTCAGGACTACAACTTGCAGGTAAATGTTGCATTCTTCCTGCAATGCTCATTTTCAGAGAGACGGCAAAACCGCTTTGCCACTGAACAGCAGGAGAAATGGCTATCATGTTCATTTTGTTCAGACATCCGTCATTGACACTGTGGCTTGGTACATAACTGTGACAAAAAGGGTAGAAATTTGTCAAGACTAATAGCCTCTTCTCTCAATGGCTTCTAGCACTTCTAAATCTCTCCCGTGGTGTCATAAGCCTGGTGGGTAAGTAGAACTGGAAAGATCTTGGGTGATTCAGATTATTTTATACTGCCTGACTGTCCAATATTGGAAAGTCTCCTGGCGAGTGCCTTTCATTCTATTTCATGTATGAGGAGGCAGAACACAACATGCACTCACTAAAACATTCACCAGGTATTACAGCCATATGTTAAGTGTCATAGTAACTAAAGAAAGATGAACTTGTAAAAGCAAATTCATGTCTGTTGTGCAGAATGCGTTGACGTCTATGCATTTAAAAAAAAAAGACTACTCCCTGGATTATGGGAGTTCTTATCCCAGCATAATTATACAGATACGTGCAGTTCCCTACATGACGGGTTTTGCTGTGCACTTGTAAGAACTTGAAAGAAACATACCCTTAAATGTTCCTAAAAGTAACAACAGAGAGAGTTGCATTGCATAGTGTACAAAGGAGGCCCAAACTTGAGTTCTCTGTGGCACTGCTCTGCACCCTTCTGCTGAGACATGTAAGGATATAGAGCAGTTTGAATGCCTCAGGTGTGACTATGCGGAGTCCAAGAAAACATAACCCAGTAAGCAGCTGAAACTCCAATTTTCTGAACCTCATAAACATTTGTTTCCCATCTGCTATTAGTCTTTGGACATCTCTAGCAAATAGATAGGTTTGATTGTTTTCAGTAAAGGTCACAGCTGGTGTCTTACCAGACCAAATCAAGATTATACCTTCACTGATGTCAGGAGTACTTTTAAAAATGCAAGCTCTAAGCCTTTCCAAAGCTCTTCCCTTATTTTATCGTACATGCTTTAGGTTATGATTTTCAGTATTTCAGAAATGCATTGTGTCTTGTTCTGTATGCATATTATATGCAAGGAGCTACCCCAGATAAACAGAGGCATGTTTGCATATAATGTATGTTGTAGCATTACTTCCAGTTTTTTAATTGACTTCTTTAGATGCTATCCTTCCAAAATAATGCTAGATAAATAAAGCGCTGCATTTAAACAGATGCATGTTAATCATGCCGCTGTCAGTACCTTGCTGCTTTCACTGCTGTGATCCTCCTGTTTCTCCATTCTCTTGAAATCAAAATGGAATTTTTGGGGTGTCTCCAGGCAAACTAAGTGGTGTGTGCATAGCTGCAGAGTTACACGTATGCAAAGTATATTGCATGGCTTCAGACAAAGCTGATGACATCGTTTGGTCACATTTTGGGGACGGAAGAATCATTTTGTCTTCAAATACCTTTTAACATAATTACTTTGGGATTAAAAGGATGTATTTAACCTTCAGAATGATACCTAAAATTATTTCCTGTTAGCGTTGAAATGCTTCATGGATTTGAAATTAATTCATTTTGAAGTATATTTGGATAGCTCTAGGGCTAAAATTTAGATCTTTTAGGAATAATAGAAATTAGGAAAGTCTAACGTAATTCGTGCTTGGCTTGCTTGTATGATAGCAAAACAATATAACCAAAAATAAAAGGGGGACTATTTTTCTTTACAGAAATATAAGCTATAGTTTAAAATAAGTCTGTTCGTGAAGCGTCAGAGGCAATGTGAAGTACACTGTTTATGAACAGATGGTGTGTCTACACTGAAATTTATAGATGTGATTGCAGCTCTTGCACACTCACCTAAGTAGCATTAGATTGACAAGCTCAGTTTTTTTATAGCAGGACTGTTTCTGCATTCAATGTGTGCTTCAGGACGCAGCGGGGATTTCAAGTAAATGCCTAAGTGGCCTCTCCCTGCTGAGGGCAGTTCATCATTACTGCTGCCTCATGAGCTGTTTTAAAGCTAGCCTTTGGTGTGTTTGTATGATGCCTGCTTGCACCTTTGCATCATGTTGTGTAAGTTCATGGTGAGAAGTCCACGTCCTCTATTCTGGCCTGGCACAAGTCCTTGGATATTGCTTAAAGCTTCCTGATTTGTATCACCTAGTGTATAAGATATTTTGAACTCCCACAGCAATACAAATTTCATTGACTAGGACTTTCTGTAATTTCACCTCCTCAGATCTCGAGCTCTGTATGCACCTAAGTTTTATTTTTCCCATTTTCAAAGGCAAAAAAGAAAATCTTGTGCCAGGATCCACACAGGAGATGCGCAGGTGAAGTTAGAACCTGTTGGTTGGCTTGCAAGTTACTGCCTAAACCAAAAATCTTTTTATAACATTGACTTCCCAAAAGGTATTACAGCTGTGCTGTTATATTATTTAACCATGGCCTCCTTTTGCAAGCCCCGATAAGACTGTTTTGTGCTTAAGTAAGTATACGGATGCAAATTTCCTATTACGCTGTTAAACTTCCTTAGCAGTAAACTTTATGTTAGATGTGATTTGAAATAGGGGTGGGAGCTAAAAGCGGTGCCTTTGACAGACTTTGTATTTTTGAAAACAGTTCTTTACATCCCAAATGAATGAGATTGAGTGGCTGCCAGGCATGCCATGTGTGGCTTACAGCGTGCATTAGAGAATCCAACAAGGAAGTCTACTAATGCAACAAAATTTGTTGTAATTTTATTTTAATCTAGGATCTTCCCTGAATAATTTTAGTTTTTATTAATGTTGGCATATTGAAGACAGACTGCTTTACTTTAACAAATTACCACCCATTAGATGAACCGTGGCAACTGTTGTATGTGCTACTCTAACAGCACCTCAGCTCTAAAGTAATGTGGTTAACTTACAGCTTTGAAAAAGCGTTAATACCCGTTTGCTACCAATCAAGCAATCATGGCACTAAGACAGGATTAGGTATTCTACTGGGTAAAAATAAAATTTAGATCATGAGACTTTGTTCTTTGGCTATAACTTAAATTAAGTACTTCTAATTTACTTTTTCTGTGGCATTACAGCTCTGCTTTACAAGTAGGGATCTATTAAAATGCCTCACTATTCTTCAAGAATACCCATGTATATTTTCCAGCTTCAGGAAATGCAATCCTTCCATGAACTTAAAGTGGTGCACACACTTAAGTATTTCCTAAACAGGAAAAAGATTTAAGTACTAGTTTAAGTAGTTTTCAGAATTGGGATTAAAACTCCCAAGTTATTTTGTTTGTTTCTTTGTTTTTTCCCTGCCCAGGATCATTTATTATAATGTTTTCTCTTTGTCATCATCTGAGTTAGTGTATTAAAACCATAGTAGATGATTGAGTGACACTGATTTACTGTAGTAATGAAAGTTTATTTACTGCTGAAATAATACTGATTTTAGTATTTATATGCATTAACAATGATAGAAAACAAAGTTATGAAGACCTAGGCAACAAAGACAAAGTTAAAGCTGTCTGAATTTTAACAATAGTATTTATCAAGTAAAGTGTACTCTAAAACTTTTTTATTATATTTTGTATCTAACTCCTGAAATCTAGTTCCTTGGTGCCGTAAATTTATAGATAAAATAGACCACAGACTACTTCCTTTGAGTTTATAAACTCCTGAAGATGTGTTCCCTTAAGGAGCAACCGGCTTATTTATTAGAAAGGACACATTCCTAGCACATTCTTTATGAATAATATGGCAAATAAATTGCCATACTTCAGTCAACATTCTCGGCATAACTAAATAGCATTCAAATCTATTGCAAGCTAACCAAATTGAGCCAAGTCATATTGATACCCTGACAAAAGTTTTAATAATTTTCATCTTTACTGCTTGCATTTAAAAGTGTTTTCAAAGACACAGAATCATAACTCAATTTTATCTCCATGCAATTGAAAAGGTGTTGTCAGTGTAACTTTAATTCAGTTTCTACACATAGACGTTGGTTCTCTGAGAACTACAGAACCTCTGTTCCCACTAGGAATTTACCAGTGCAATTATTTTTAAAAACTCCCTTAGCCAACACAATTAGGGCAGTAGCACTGTTAATTCCAAATTGTAGCAAAATCAGCATTTAGTAGTATTACCATACAAAATATAAATTCAAGCTATTATTTTCTTTCAGTGAAACCAGTGCTACTGATGATGTTTTTATGCAACTTCTTTGGACTGAAACACATCGGTCATGCAACAGTTGGATCTTAACAAAGACCTTTTTTGAATGTATGCTTGAACTTTGTGTTTGCCTTTTATATTCAGTTCCCTGGAAACTGAAAAAGAATATGAAATGATTCACACATGTTTAAGTCTCTGATATCTGATTACGGTGTGGTCTTAACTTAAGAACGAGGAATGTAGGAGCCTTTGTTAAAATAAGTCATGTAATCATGCTCCAAGTTTTTAAAGCATTGTATCACACAACTCACAGAGAAGGATGATAGAAAAATCCCATTATTTGTGCCTTGTGAGTTAGTTATAAGCCTGTTACACTTTCCAAATATTTAAAATAGGATTCTTTTTGGCTTTGGTCTATACCTGAGTGAAATTTAGGAAATGCTTGTGGTATTGGAAGAGATCTAAATACCTCCCTCATTTCAGAAAGAAATGCCCAATTTCTCAGCTGGTGTCTGACAATTGTTAGAAGAAAACTTCAAAAGATGTTGGTGTTCTAAGACTTTTTTTCCCTAGTTTTAAAATATAAAAGCAATTTGTTTAGATGCAGTACCTCTGGATTCTGTGGATTAGCCATTTTGCTCAAGTGTTGACTTACTAGTTTGCATTTTGATTGAACCCGCAGTAACGCTGATGGATGAGAGAGATTCATCCATTCATAGAATTCGCATCTGTCTATTCATGACAGAGGTTATGAACTAATAGACCCCGATGATAATCTGATGAATGCTGTGTGAAAGAGCACCTGGTAAAATTGTTGGATTTTGCTCCTGAACATGCATAAGCTGCTGTTCAGACACCTTGGAGGCACTAGGGGGCGGGTGGCAGCTTGCAAGGAGGGACATCTGCCTTTTGGTTGTAAAGACTAAAAATAATGTGCTTTTAATTGCGGTTGTGACGCCGTTTGGAAGAATTTGGTTAATTGGCCTTAAGAAACTTGGACTTGTTTGAGTGCTAAGCTGAATCAAGGCCTGAATTTATTCCCAGAGCTTTGAGTATACCCTTTCAAATTTACTGCATACTGCAGTGTTTTCCTTTAAAAATAACGTTAGGCATTTGTAAATCAGGACTTTTTTAATTAAATGGAAGTTTTTATGGCTTCTGATTTTAATTATGCAGTAGCATCTTCCCTAGTATAGTCAGAAAATGAACTAGGATTCTCTTTCGCAATAAATGTTTTTGTTTCAGGAGTTTTAATTAATTTGGTAAAAAGCATTACATCTGCCTGAAACTTCTTCCTGTAGGTGTACCACGCTGTCCCTGCTTGTGCTTACTATCGTGTGCTTTTAAAGGGTAAAAAAAGTTCAGTTTCATCCTCTGAGTCCTATTTTTTCTCCTCAGAAAGTGGTTTCATTACAGATTTATGCCTGGTGGCAGTTTGAACTAGTTCAGCCTAATCTTAGGGTGCAAAGTTATATACTTCTCCCGCCTTTTAATGTTAAGTTAATTCAAACATTCTTTCTCCCTCTGTCTCACCTCCAAATTGCCTCTCCTGCTTCTTTTTCTATAACTGTTAAATTATCCTTCTCATCTTTGAGCTCTTCAAATCTGTTTCCGCAGAAGTGTTGAGATTTATTACCTTGAGATTTGACATTTTACATTCTTCATTGTGACTTTCCTTTTTACATAACAATAGCTGCCTACTGGATTCCATTTCTAGCAAAATAAGGTCTGGCAAACAGTCATTGAATGTGGTATGGAAAAATCTTAGTGGAGTTTAAATAGTGGGGGAAAGGTAGTGCACATGTCTTGTGTCTTTCAAGATATTTCTGTTACTCAAGTTTTTTTAAAAAACAGTACTGAGATTTTCCAGTGACAAGGATGTCTACTGTTTCCCTCTCTATTTTTCTTTTTTTGAATGTAGTTTTCCTATTGGCATACTGTATTTTAAGTATAAAATAGTAAATCATGCTCCCTTCTTCCCTTTCTATTGCTGTTTCACCCTTTTCGTTTAAAATGCTTGCTTTGATCCTGTTGTTTAAACATGGGATTTTTCTTCTGCTTATGCTGAGTGCGGCTAGTGAAGACTCCAGTATATAGCCAAGAACACATCTGCTCGAAGTTGTTTACCTATCTTTGGGATATAATTTACTGATAGAGAATATTTTGAATCAGGCAAGCACTTATTCTGAAAGATCGTCTCATCCAATTGTCCTTGCAAAAAGTTTCTAGCAATTTTTTCAAAGGTAATGACATTTTTCTATATTTAAATCAGAACTTACCATTCTCTGTTGCCCTTGGATAAAGTTGGAAGGGGAAAGGCATACTCAGATAGTTCCTGAGGTTATCATAGATAAAAATGATTGATTTTCAAAGAGTTTATCTTGTAGAGCTGCATTCAGTTTCTGGTACTCTGAAATGTTTTATAGCTCAATGTGCCTAATACTGGAGAATGTCATTTACCCACTAATATGCCCAGTTTGAAATGCTTAAAGTGTTATTCAATTTTAATTTTTTTAATGTATTTCAGATTTGCAGTCTTAACTGCGTATCATTTTTGGCAGTGCATCCTTACTACTTCACGTGTATGTGGTAAGATAGGGTTTTGGACAGTGTTCACCTGGCTGGAAAACCTACAATTACATTTCTTTTTAGGTATTTGCATTAGCTGTGTCTTGAACTATTTCAGAACACTCATTGTCTCCTGTAATGCAAATAATCAGGAGAAAGGACTGGAAATGGCCTTTTTAAACCACTTTTTTGATAAGGCTGTTCAGCTTAAAATCGATTGTGAGTCTCTTTTGAAAGCACTCTTCAGAGGAATTGTTGTATTAGAAAACAAATTTCCAAACATCAATTTGGGAAGTAAAATTCCACACGACTCATTTAGGTTTGTCATATTTTCATACTTGCTTCATTAAGTGTTGTGAAATAAGGCTCTGTAAATTTGGCATCTTTGGTTCCTTTTTGTGTTCCACAACTTTGTCAGGCAATGACATGTCAATCTAACGAAAAATATTAAATAAGTAGAAAGGGGGCTGAGGCTTTTGCTGAAGAGGAACAAACTCTGGACCTTTGGTTAGTTGTATGGACATTTAGTACCGCTTACTAAATGACACCTCAGTAGGAAATATGTTTGAACAAAATGGCCAATGGAATCCTGGGCTGCATAGGGAAGAGTGTGTCTAGTAGGTCGAGGGAGGTCATTCTCCCCCTCTACTCGGCACTGGTGAGGGCACAACTGGAATACTGTGTCCAGTTTTGGGCTCCCCAGTTCAAGAGGGACAGGGAACTGCTGGAGAGAGTCCAGCGAAGGGCAACCAAGATGACTGAGGGATTGGAGCATGTCCTTTATGAAGAAAGGCTGAGAGAGCTGGGACTCTTTAGCCTGGAGAAGAGAAGGCTGAGGGGAGACCTTATTACTACTTACAAACATCTAAAGGGTGGGTTGAAGGAGGATGGAGCCCCCCTCTTCTCGGTGGTTCCCAGTGACAGGACGAGGGGCAATGGGTGCAAGCTGGAACACAGGAAGTTCCGTTCCAACACATGAAAAAACGTCTTTACAGTTCGGGTGACAGAGCACTGGCACAGGCTGCCCAGGGAGGCTGTGGAGTCCCCTTCTCTGGAGATTTTCAAAAACCGCCCGGATGCAGACCTGAGTAATGTGCTCTGGGCAAGCCTGCTTTAGCAGGGGAGTTGGACTAAATGATCTCTAGAGGTCCCTTCCAACTCTGAAAATTCTGTGATTCTATGAAAATAAATTTTGAATTGCTGCGTTTACGAAGGTTTTATGATTATCGAATGGCTTTCCTAAAGAAGACAGGGAAGATATGGGTAGAAGAAGTTCTGAAATGGTTTGGAAACCAACTGTGAGGGGCACTATAAAAATCCCTCTCCATGGTATTTTGTTAAGACAAGCTCATAGGAAGAAGATCATAGTTTATGACAATAGTATATTTGTAAAGGATTTGATTTTTTTTGAGGTGGGTTGCTGTTCTTTTTTACGTTGTGGGGTTTTCATTTAGGTAGAGGTGGTGGTAATGGGATGTTCCTCCTTCCCCTCCTTTATAATAGCTTGAAAAGCCTTAAACATTCTTTGCACTCTTTTAGCAGCAGAAACCCAGTGGAGACTTGCCACGCTAGTGGATATGCCCGTCTGTTCAACAACCGCTGTATTTTGTGTTCTTTGCATAACAGATCTTGCTGCGGGAGGGTTGCAAGAAGATACTTGTTGCCGATTCTCTTTCTTTATTGAAGAAAATGCATCGAACTCAGATGAAGGGTGTTCTAGTAGACGGTGGGTACAGAGGAAATGTGGTGACTTTCAAGGTTTTTAACTCTCTTACTTGCTTTATAGACCCGAGCCATGTGACTGTCCACTTTGGAAGCTGCCCAAAAGCCTGAATATTGTGCTTATTTGTAGAGTGTAGTGGGATACTAGCTGCTTTACCCTTTGCAAAGAAAGCACTTGTATCTCAAAACTCCAAGACCCAGCATGCAGCTTTTCTTCTTGAACAGTCTCTTAGAGCCAGTAATGTATTGTATCCTGCAATTTGTCTATAAAGGTGAAAAATGCTGTTCAGTGCCAACACGGATAGTCAGATAGTAATAATAATAATCCATAACCAAAGCAAAAGCTACAATATCGTTTTCAGAAATAGTTGAAAATGTTTTGCAGGGTGCTAATGATGCATGTGAGCAGTGCTGTAATTCACACCAGCTTAGTGTTAATACCAAGAGGCAAAAGCTGATGGAAGGACAGAGGATCAGAGCTCCTGCTGCAAAATACTGCAGAGAAATCGGCCACCCATCCTATACTCCTGTTTTTTCAATTTGCCTTGTGCCTCTACAGCACTGATCCTAGACAGCCTCACTCCTGCAATTCTGCCATCATCAGAATCAGTAGTTCTGAACATTTCTCATGCTGTTCATAGAAATGCTGCTTCAGTATTGCTCTTCAATTTTTAATTTAGATTCTGTTAGGCATCTTAAGTAAATACTTCAAGACCAAGCTTCATTTCTGTAATAGCAGTATGTTCGTGCCTGCTTTATAAAAGAGTAAACATGGAGTTTGTTAACAAAGCTGTTACAAGTTTGTTTTGTTTTGTTTTTCCAGAGGAGAATATCTGCGAATCATGCCTGTCTCCAATACTTCCTTCAGGTAGGATGCTTTTCTAGAAGAGAAAGAGATTGGCTATTTTTTTTTATTTTTAGAGGAAATAGTGCATGCTTTTATACATAGAAATGTGTAGTAGTCTCCCTTGGAAATCACTGTATGAATTTCAGTGCTGTGCAAAGCTTGCTTATGAATTCTGATGTGAGAGTAGCGTCTAATTTGAACTTTTTTTTTTTGTTGCAGTAAACCCAGACTTTCATTCTTATTCATCTTTAACTTTCTTTTTTTCTGTTTTGAAATACGTGGAATGGAAGGCAACTTTTAATTCCATCAACATACATATTCTCAGAGATCGTTAGAACCACAAAACTAAGCTGTTGCCATCAAACCTTGTCCAACTCTGAACAATTTAGACTGAACTTGTAGATTATGAAGTTTTATGGACTATACTTTTGTTTGAGTGGTGGAAAACTCTTGGCTTCAATCACTGCTGTCATATTTGAAACAACTTATAACAGAATGTAGTTTCAAAATATCTTCTAAAGTTAGTCTTGAAACTAGAAATTCAGGATATTGTTTTGAAGATGTACATTCTGCAAGGCAACTATAGTTCAGAAATTCCAATATAGTTGTTGGGCATCTTAAGAAGAAATAGTTTTACGAGGAGAATGTCTGTCGTAGCATCTGCAAACAAGAATATGTAAGACAGCGTATGTATGGACTTATGTTTTTGTTTGCCAAGTGTGCATAACCCAGTACAACCCCAGTTTTGTAATCTGGTTTCTGCCATTTTTCATTTTAATAAATAAAGAAAAACAACTATACTATGATCACATGCAGCAGCGTACAGACCAGAGCAGTCACATGGTGATAGTAAACCTGGCAGAGCTGAATGTGCTACTGCCTCGAGGTGTGTGTGTCGAGGGAACGGGAGCCAAGGAATCGAATGTGGACGATGCTCATGAGCGAGGTGGTTATTCTTTGAATATGTGGATGTTGTATACAGGCTTCTAATTGGGCTGCATATTCGTGTGGGAATCAAAAGGCCCGTTGTGCAACAGCTTCTTGCCAAATTTCAAGATCATGGAGTGCAGTGTAGGCGCTAGAACTACTTAATGTTCTCGTTCTCCCCGTACCAGCGCAACAATTATTTTGCTAACTTTTCTTCAAAATGGCTGAATTATTTGGTGGTAGGTTACTCTTCTCCCTCCCCAGGTTTAACGTGTAGCACATATTGACATGAAGAAATTTCTGTTGAAAAGGTATGCAGCATTTAAGCCACAGAATAAAATTGGCCTGTAAGTCCATCATTGGGACACATTAGCTGAAACCATCAACTCGGCATAGTTTCTATAAATAAGTTAGAAAAATCTGGAAATTAATTTGATAGAAAGATATTACTTAATGTTTCTCTATGTATAATGGAATTGCAGGCATGTACTGCTGTAGCCACCGAATCCTTTGTTTCAGTGCCTTGTTGTAACGAATTTACTTTTCTCTTTCCCAGATGCATCCAAGTCCTTCAACGTGGTAGTGTTCCACTGCAGACATATGTTTCACAAAGAGTGCCTCCCGGTATCTAACACAGTAAGGAGCTAGCTTCATCTCTCTGATACCTTTGTCAAAGATGAAAGGACAAATTATTTCCTTTTGTCAACTGTGGAGAAGGGCATGGGTCTATCAGGAACTATAATGTGATTACAGTAATTACCTGTGATGATATGCCATAGTAGTATGTGACTAGCGAAAGGCTCTTTAGGGCAACTGCAACTAAAGTACATCCAATTTAGAAAGACCTTGTTGCTATTTGAGAAGAATTTTATCACTTTCTGCAATCTGAATGTGCAATGCAGCTTTGAGACATACAGGGAATACGACCTGTTTGAAGGGTTTTTTAATTAATTCTTTTCCATTGAAGCTCTCACTGTAAGTATGTTTAATTAAAGGCAAGAATAAAGATACTTTCCCAAGTAAACCGTATTGAATGATTCTGACCTGGAGGAAAAAAAAACCACTCATATCAGAGTGAATATTTTAATATCTTTGTAATCATCTCTATGCTCAGGATATGTTTTCTTCATCACGGAAATCTTTTTTTTGGTTCGGGTTTTTTTTTTCCGCCAATGAAAACAAACCAGAAAAGTAACTTACAGATATAACTAGGTTTTGATTTAGGAATGAAAGCATCAGAACGGTAACAAAATCGCAAAGAAAATGGAATTTAAGCTTTTCGTATTCTGTATCTGTCTCTGAAAATGAACATCTAGTGAAAAAATAACTTTGGTGAATCACTTAATCTGCAAGTAACCAAGCAAAGTGCTTGTAGCCATATGGTACAGCATGTATACTTATATATGTTATGAAAATCGTAATGAATTAGATCATTTGCAAAAGAAAGTCCAACAACTAGGAAATGTTTATTCGAGCAATATTTACCACAAATTTTATTATTTGAGAAATAATCTAAAATTTATCTAGCATTCTCAATATGCTGGGACAGTGGTGGGACTGGGTAACGTCAGATGGGATTTTTAAATGTGACGTGCGTATTACATTATATATATTTTACAGTACATATGAATACACAGGTATCTGCATGTATCTGAGCCAAATTCTCCACTGCTATAGTATTTCTTGGCCTTATGTAATCAGTTGTGTTAATGATACTTCGTTACTTGTGATGTACTGAAGGGAAGGTAATGCACGTATAAAGCATCACACAGAGCTAAACACGGGAGTAACAATAAACACATATTTGATATCAAGTGGACAATATTCAGGCTGTATTCTCAGCTGTTGGAAATCTGTAGTGCACTATCCAAAGACAGAGCTGTGACTAAGACACCCAGAGGTCAGCAGAGCTGACCGAGTGACTTACTCTCTTCTTTATCTATGAAGATAATCAGTTGCATTTTTACTCTGTATGTTTCTTTTTTGTTGCGGAGGAAATTTGACCTTCCTCTCCTGGAAGATGGAGGTAATACAATTGGAGTGAGTGGTGAGGTGTACTGGTCTCTGACTCCAGAGTAGCCTGCTTTATTGTATTCCACTATATTGCCTTCCTACACTTAGCTATGAATGTGTCTATAGGGACCAGCCTGACTGTGAATAGTAACGCTGAGAAATGCATTTTTCATTCTAATATGGCTACATGTCTCTAAGAATTTCTTGTTTTCTTTTTAATTTCTAGGTATCTCCTGTCCAGTTCTGCAACATCTGCAGTGCCAAACACCGAGGACCGGGAAGCGCAATCTTGGAGATGAAGAAGTAGCAATCCTCTAGTTCTCCATACCAGCTCTGTTAGGACAATGCAGAGCCACTGTGGTTTCTGTTAGTCATTGTTTATGTATATAATTCTGATTGTGATTTAAAACTGGTTTCTGTAAGTTATCCAGCTGACTGAACATTTTCAGGAAAGAGAAAATGTGAAGATCTTTCCCT